CTGAAAAGGAGTTGGACAAACTTGTTATGTGGAAGGAAGTTTTTATCAAAGAACATAGAGGTCAGAATAAAAACGACAGAAATGAGAATAAGTAAACTTGAACTTTTTTAATTTTTTTTTTATGTTGTGTTTGTCCAATTCTTTTTTGTTTTTTTTAATGTAGAATACCAGATGGGCGTTGGTTTCTTTTGATCGTTGGTAAGGGTCATTTTATATTAGCCACCCTTATGGAAGCAGGTGGATGTACAGAAGATGTAAGTAATTATTGTTAGTTAATTTTTCTGACTCTAATTTTTCCTTTTTTGTTCTTCTATCAGTCAATCTGTATGGATTCATAACAATGTTGCTTGGCATGTTGTTTACAAACATTGCTTATCAAGGAATATTCTTAAACTTTTTTCTCTTCTATCAATATCTTTGTGTATAAATATTAGTGATTTTCTTTAAATGGTTTGTTTTACAGGCGATAGATGTAACATCCCCATCTCCATTTTACGTGGAGGAATGTGAAAGCTGTTTGGAACTGCTTTACGAAGTGGGACTGCATAAATATTTGACTACCTGGTTCTCATCAAACACATTACCACAGGTTGAAACAACTCCTGAATACTTGACAAAGTATGGCAGGAAAATGAGGGATTGTAAGTTTATTATTATCTTTTACCCGCGTCACCGTCCGTTTATTATTAGTTCAATGAAAGTAAGGAAAGGATTGTTATTCTTTTTTTTATGTCAAAAGGTGGCAAACGAGCGAGCGGCCACCTGAAATCGCTGAAATAGCGAAGTGACCGTTGCCCATAGACATACGCAATTGCATATGCGTTGCCTACCTTTAATCGACGGAGGAGAGGATGCACAGAAAAAAAAATCTTCCCTTTCCATGCATCCTCTCATCCGGAAAGTCCACTTCCACTTCCCATTCTTTCCTTATAAAGAAAAGGATGGGAAGGGAAAGAGGACTAAATTAGGCCTCCGGGACGCACACTCATCAGACGAAACGCGGAATCGCTTCCACTTGAGGCCTGTCTTCTGTGTGGTCGTGATATTTCACCGGGCGAGCCGAGCCGAATCATGCGAAGATGTTAAAGCGGGCTCTACCACTGTTCAGTTTCTCAGCCATCTCAGTATAAAATAGAAGGCTATACTTTTTTATTTTCTTTTAGCTCTAAAATCGGACAACTTTAGGAGCACTACACTGAAATTATCTAAATCTCAGCCGGATTTAAAGCGACGACATAACTCGTCTGATCAAATTAACTCGGTAATTAGTTCAAGTGATAATCCTATCAACAACTATCATAGTATGAGTCATCATAGCTTTTACAATCAATGGTATAACGGCTCACAGAAGAATTACAGACATTCAAGTAATTTAGACATCAGTTATTCGGAAGATTCTAATAGCTTGAAGAGCAACAGGTATGTTTAATGAGTATTTTATAGTTATGTTCTTCGAGACTATGTTGTACATCCGTTCCGGAGATATTTTCTGACAAACATCCAACCATCCATCTAAACTTTCACATAATATTATTATAATAAGAAGAAGAACTCGTAATGAGATAATAAGTGATGTTGCCATCTGCAGCAATATGGCAGTGGAATTGCCAGAAGAAAAGAAGATGTAGATAAAGCAAATAATATAAGAGAAGGGATAAAGCTTTGATTAAATATTATGTGTAAATTTTTATGTTGATGACATTTAATTTTTTGTAGTGAAATAACCGAGGAGCGTGTGACCGGACAGCGAGCGGACAGAGAACAGAAAGGTCGCCGTGACTCCTCTGGATCTGATTCTGTCTGGGACAGACAGGTGAGGATGTTTTATAAGATTAAAACATTGCATGTTCTTATTAAGTACGAGTGTAAAAATCTGCCTGGTCTCTGCCCTGGTCTGTGTGAACGAAGCCTTTCATTGTGTACTTAAAATATATAAATAGATTATATTTTAATAAAAGTCTAAGCGTAAAGTCTAGTAGCTTTTTAAGTTTTTTTTTATTTGACATCGGATTTGTAGTTTTTTTGCAAAAATTGACAATAAAATGTCATCATATGTTATGATTTTCAGGATGGGAGTAGAACTAGCGGGAATATTGATATGACAGATATAAGAAAAAGTTTATTTAAACGTTACACGCCGATAGAAAAAAATAAAAATCGTAAAAATACTTTTGGTCGTAATTTGAATTATATATCCTGAATTTTTATTTTGGTTACTTTTTTCGCTATCTTTCATTTTTTCAATTCCTTACAAGGTATGTTTGTCCCACTGCGCAGTATAGTTCTACAGCGCCGTGCGGGTCACGGAGTACGAATAAAGTAAGTCAGTATGGCCGGCGGCGAGAAAAAGTAGTTTGAATATTACTATACGTTGAGGTCAACGGTGACCCCATGGCGCTATGATAGAGGAAGGGTGAGGTCACCGGTGACCCCCATGGCGTTTAGCGTGTTAAATGAACTCAATCATGTGACTGTCCACAGGTATAATAAAAAACATGATATTAAAAAAAAGAATGAGGTCCTATTCTAAAATATTAAATATAGAATTCGAAAATTTTCAGAATAACAGCCGGTGAAGAGAATGTCCTATTTCATTTTGTACAACTGGAATCAGAGAAAGGAGTTTTGATAGCGCCAATGAAAACTATCGAAATGCAAGCGAACAATGTTTTATATTCTTACATTGTTGCTACTTTTAGGAAGGCTTGTAAGAAGATACATGATTTACTGCAATATAGTATGAAGTAAGTTTATAGACTCCGTCCGCGCAGTATTAAATAATCATAATAAGTAGACTGTTTCCTTTCAGACTATGTTCCACATCTGTACCAAATTTCATCAAGATCCGTTGAGCTGTTCAGGAAATAACTTGTAGCAAACATCCGTCCATGTAAACATTCGCATAAGTAAGATTTTTTATTCTGTCTTGTTTTAATTATTTACTCTTATTTACTATAATTTTTATTAATCTTATGTAAACTTACAATTGAACATGGACACTATAATACAATGTTATTTTGATTTTTGTCACAGATTTAAAAAGAACCATGCGCCATCAAATCCGTTAAATAAAATCCTAGTGGCAGTCAGAGAGTTTGGCAGCTTGTTTGAAGTACCTCCTGATGTTCTCATTCAGTGTGGCATCAATAAAAAAAATTGTGAACCCTTTCTGTTTTGGGTTGTCGGGTAGGAATTGTCTTCTATTATTATTATCAGACTAGGAAGAGGAAGCATATGTACGACTTAGGCGTTTTTATTTTTAATATATTTTTTAATGAAATGCTTAACATTTAATGTCTTGTCCCAGTGTTTATAACTTTTCTTTCATCATCATTTAAATTATAAGAATAAGCTTTACAGATATAATTAACTACAAAGGAAGAACATTGTATGAACAACTTATCAATTTTTAATACTTTCTGTTTTTAGGTGTGAAACAAGTATAAAGCAGTAGAAAACATAATCAATGGATTCACAGAAATAGAATTTGAATAAAGATAAAATTTTACATTCTATTCATATTTAAAAGAACTAAGTGTTGAACTAGAACTTATGACCTTTTGCCGATTGCTGAAAAGTAAATTTGCAACAAAAATTTATGAAAATAACATAAAAGTAAGTACAAGACATATGCCAAATTCTACTTGGTAAGTGGTAAATATTAAGTATTAATAATAATTCCCAAAGCACATATTTCCAGCAATTATTTGAACAATTTTAATCTTTTAAATTGGCTTGATATTTAGTATAAAATGGTTTGCTCAAAACATGAGAAAGATTCAATAATAAAAATTAACTTAAATATTATTTAGGTTGTGTGTAGAATATCTCTCTATTATTGTTTCAAATATTGTAGATCAAACTGTAAATTGGTCATGTCATGACAAGTTTTTCAAACTAATTTGATTTATGATTCTATCATAGACATTTCACAAAAATGGGCAGGCAATAAAAGTTTCTATAAAAACCTGTAAAAACTAATCATCATTTTTACATGGTTTGTGAGTTCCATCATTGTAGAGAATTGAATTTCAAAGAAGTTTTGTAAGTAAATGGGGAGAAATCTATATAATCAAAGAAAACCAGTTTTTTCTAATAAGGTATGTAATTAGGTGAAAAGCAATAATTAAATTGATTATGTTGTAGACTTGAATCAATTAATTACCATTTCATACTGTTGCAGATGAATGATTGCACCTCTTCAAGTTCTACAGAATTATTAAATGAAGGAATCTGCTTCAGAATTACTGACTGCATGTCGCTGCAACATATGTGTTACAAAGTTTGATTGCTTGAAATATTGTAATTCTAAACTAAATTTTGAAAAATAACTTATTATATGGAGTAGTTTAACCGCAAATCTAAAAAAGAGTCACCATGTTGCAGGAAATGCTAGTAACTATATTAATGTCAATATTGATATATAGATGTGTAACCTATACATTATTTATATTATAATTTAGTGTTTTATATTAGTTTGATGTTACTTTAATATAAAATATACACTAACATAATAAGATTTTCTCGAAATTGGGAAATGCAGTGTATAGAAAATAAAAATATACTAAAATACAGGAAATTAAGTATCAAGTACAAAAGATAAAAAAAAAACACCATTTAGTGAAAAATATGAAACAAAATTAATTTATTAAATTTGGATTTTACAAATATCACAACTTATATTATAAGTTGTGATATTTGTAAAATCCAAATTTTTTATTACTTAGTTCAAAAAAAGTTATAATATTAAAAAAAGATATATTATATCTTAAACTTTTTTTGAACTAAGTAATAAAAAATAAACAGAGATTGTATACAATTTTCTTACAAGTAATTTAAATTTCAACACAGGTACTTTTCCCCAAAATGATGCCTCCTAAGCTCATTATTTTTCCTCATTAAGGAATCTATAGGTTACACATCTATGGAGAATAGTAATAACAAGAGTTAAAATGCGGAATCCTTAGGTTCATGATAATTTTATGAATTTATTTGAGAAGTAAAACTTAAATATTGTATTCAATTTTTACAGTACATAATATTTAACATGACTTGTACATTTGCAATGTTTTGATAGGAAAAGTTTGGATTAGGGGACTATTTGGAGCGTCGGGAGTGCAGTTGGTGCTTGACCGGATCATATTTTACATATCCAGGTATGATCTCTGCTATATAGTAATGAGTTCTTCGAATTTCATGATAACATTCATCCGACATTCTTACTGTAATTACAAATTGCATACAACTGCATAGAAATTCAAAGATATCTGTGAAGTCAACCAACCCTCACTGACTCTGCGTTGTTGAATAAGACCTAGTCGCATTCTTGAGGGTAGGCTCCGAGCTCCTCTGTGGAGTATAGTGTGTCCGAATAGTGACCTTGATGATGACGATTTGTTTTGATTCAATGCATACTGTCTTGTTAGCAATTTTCTAAATATTTTACCAACAGATAGGAGCTAATCTCTTTCCAGTGTTATTCTATTTCTCCCGACGAGAGTGGCACTACTACTCCTGTTCTATCAGAAAATATGATCTATCAAATAAACAAACTGAAACAAATAAGTTGCAATTAACGAAATTGTTTTATTTTTCCAAAATTGTTCTCCCTCAAATAATACTTTCAAACGTCAAAAAGGAAACTGACAAATTGATTTTTTTTAGGTTGGTAGCAACGGAGACTTGTTCATAATATTGCTAGCATTGAAAATGACAATTTTTTATTCTCCGTTTGCGTATCTAATTAATCAAGAGTCCCGTCTCTTATTTTATATACTCTTTGGGTTTAATGTGGAGGACATCGTTGTTGGGTGGGGGGGAGGTGTTTTCAGGATGAATACAAATAAATTTTAAATTACATACTTCAATTAACTTAATTCAATTGTTGTTTATTTATAATCCAAACTTGAAATGTAAAGAAATTATAAATTTTTAAATCACAATTTATTCATATGCACTATGGTTTTTTTTTAAACAGCCCAAAAATTATAGAGAAACTTATGAGTGAGATAGACACAATTTTCAAGATGGAGGATCTCCGTTTTGCGTTCAATTTGTAGCACAGATTATAAAAGTTTCGTTTGCTTGGTTCTGTTTAGTACAAAGCAACGCGAGTTGTGTCAGTGTAGAATCTGTAGAAATTTTACGTTTTCTTTTAGAAATTCAATCCCATTAGAATGTAAAATATAGAATTTGTGTAACATTATCCAAGTGAGTTTTATTATAAAAAATATATTTCGTACAATCCATTGCAGATTTTGAGATTGTCTGAGTTTTGTAATTTGGTGTGTCAAGTGTAGGGCTATATAGTGAACACAATAAATTAACTGATTACGTTTTACATTTGATGATTTATATAATTATAATTGCTATTTTCCATAATTAAATGATTTAAAATCCTAATTAAAGGAACAGGATGTCTGTTATAAAACTGGGCGTTTATTGAATGTCGGCACATCTGGCGATCATTGTCAACGCTATTTCCCCTTTCTTTTTTACTAATTAAGAGCAAATGCTTTATTTTTGTTAGTTTTATTACCATATACCTTATTTAACGAAAACGAGTAACTTCACGTCAACAATAAGTTGTTTTATATGTTAATTAATCTCATGATTAACGAGGCAATCGTAAATTGAAAATAATTTACATGATTATCAATTTAATTTGTTTTAACGTGTAGATACTGGTGTTGTGATGTTTGTAGTAAGTGTTGTTTTATTTACTTACGTGCTTAGACAGTGATAAATTTGGTACGATGGCCAAAAAGTCGGAGAATATTGGGGGAAAGCTGATGACGGTGTCTGTTGTGGGACTGTCTGGTAAGTGTTCTAATACAGTTCTTAATGTGCCTTAAATTGTCTATTTCAATCTTTCAACCCGAATGAAATATCCCTTAAAATATTCTTTAAGAAATTAACTCTTCATTGAATGGGTCCTTTCATTTTGGCTATATTTGTTAAACTCCTTCACTGTTTCCAATTCTTAGAGTTGGATCTCCTTATTTATCTTCTTCTTCTTCTTCTTCTAGTGCCTCTTCAGTCTTGAAGGTTGGCCGCTAACTTGAAATATTTATCTTAAGATAATAAAAATATAAAGGAATTTATGTCTCATATAAGTAATTACATATATGAGACATAAATTTCTTTATATAAATGGATGTATCATTTTTGGAAATGATAGTAACTATAATCAATTTTAAATTCAAATAATATTTATAGGTAGGATTGTCAACTGTATAATTTAAAATTTAATACATTATTATGCCAAATGTAGTCAGTAAAGTGGTTCAAGAAATTCAATTATATTATGTGAAACATCTGCTTAAATGGGTGCAGAAACAAAAACATGTTTAACAAACTTAATCTATTTATAATAATTATTAAAACCATTAACATTTTTTGTGAAATCTATAAATAATATGTAGACATCCTCTAATCAGGAGCCTAGTAAATTATATTTTTTGACAAATTTGTTAGTATTAATATTCTTCAAACATTTATAACATGATGAGAGTGTAAAACTTTGTTAACTGGTGGCTATAGTTATTTAAAAAAAAATTAAGATGTTATGTTTCTTATTGCAATTCATCATTTAGTATTGTTGATTTACAATAAATTAAAATCTAAATCATTTTAATGGTTAAAGAACATTATTGAGAAATATTCAAAGTTTGTTATGTAAACATGAACAGGACAATAAGTAAACATGTAATGAAAGAATGCAACACCACATCCTCCTACATAGCTGACTCTGTTTGTGCAATATGATCTCAATTGCCTTAATGACAATGTTTCAACAGGAAAATTGTATGACCAACATAACTAAGAAAGTAGGATCATTTGATACTATGTGATTATATTTTAGAAAATTACAATATTTTATATCAAGTATATGTATAAAATTATACTTATGTAAGTAAAAATTATACTCATATAGCTGTCACCTGAGACTGTTCGCATAGAATTAAAAAACTTTAGCATTAGCAGCTTAAGTGTTCTTCCATTTGATGTTATAAACCTATGTGATTGATGATCCAATTTTCAGTGAGATTCACACAGCTGTTCCGGAGATACCTTCAAACAAACATTCATCCAGCCATCCACATTAACTAGTAAAGTTTACTTTTGATGATGTGATAAATTTTGTAATGGATAAATACTATCATGTTTATCATGCTTTCATTATATGTTCTATCTATATTTTTGGTTAAAAATAGTGAATTTTCTGTGTTACCAAATTTCAATAGTTTAAAACGCCTAGTAAAGATGTTTATTCTATGCCAAATATTGATAGTATGCATTTGTGTGTCTTTTGGCCATACTTGAAATGGTTGACAAATACATTTATGACATAAATTTATTATAAATAATTCTTGCTCTTATTTATTTATTCCTGATATTTATATGTTATATACCCCTCTATCTATTTTATTCTCTCCTGTCCCACTGGATTGCCTGGAAGAGATCGCTTGTAACGATAAGGCTGCCCTTGCTTTGTAAATTAGTCATTTGTCATTTTTTTAATCTATTATAATAGCTAGTGTTAATAAATAAAATATGATTTTTACTTGGCACCGCTGTTCGAAAGAAGCAGTGTCTCTATGTTGGTAAAATGAAAGATAGTTTAAATTTTTTTGTTTACATTAATACTAAATTTAGCTATGGTACAGTTGGTTCCTATGTATTACCAAATCAAATGATCATAACAATTCCAATTGGTATTGTTAGCTGTATCGTTGTTTATTATCTATTCTTCTACTTCCTGTTGCATTGTGTGTAGGTTTACTTTAAATTATTTATTGTGTAAGATAAGTATGGTTGCTTTAAATAGATTTACAACCATCACATTTGTAGTATAGCTTGTATTGTTACATTTGTAAACATTTACTGTGGATTACTGCTTTGACACTTGTATGAATACATTTTAACATCTGTTGCATTCTTTTTTGAAAAAAAAAATTGTGGTAATACAAGTGTAACAGCATCAAAGTTTTACAGTTGTAAAGGTCTATGCATATGGAGAATAAGAACTATTATTATTAAGATCTGAAATAATCCTGGCATAAAACAAAATAATGTAACATTGGCATTATTTATATTCTGTTATTAATGTGAGGTCTGTATGTATTGCTAGTGGTGACATAAATGTGCGTCATATATTGTCAAATTTGTACGATAGTTTGGAGTGTAAGAACATTGAAAGCCTTATACTTTATCGCAGATAGTAAACAGTGATAAACCTAAAGTAAATAAATTTTTGTTTGTCTACACCTTGACAGACTATAATGAAATGTAATAAGACAGACTACAAAGTTACATATACATCAGTTGATGAGTAGTATGCATTTATGTTTTTAGTTTTCATAGTGACATGAGTTTTTGTTTAATGATTTAAATTACAGAAAGTGATTACGGATTACAGACTTGTATTTTAAGTATTGGTATTTTCTTTTGCATAATTTTTAATTATTTGCCTTTATAATAAAATTCATTAAAGTTTGATCCTTATTAGAACTATGTATAAAGGTGTTCTCTTTTTCAAAATCGATTAGGATGATATAAATCCACCTCATTTTCTCCATCTTAAAACGTAAATGGTGCTTACAAAATTGTGGAAATCATAAAAAGACTATGTTAAAAGATAAAATTGTTTATATTTTCTTGGTGCAGGTACGGAAAAGGAGAAGGGTCAACTGGGTATCGGCAAGTCTTGCCTATGCAACCGCTTCGTGCGCACCAACGCCGACGACTACAACGTCGATCATATATCCGTCCTCAGTCAGGTTTGTGGAATTACCATATTTTAAAAATACACATTAGAGGGAAGTGAAAATGTTTTATGTACATTTCAACTGTTACACTTGAATTGACACATATTGTCATCTCTTACATCCTCCTTGAATAAACCGAGACAGCTATATCCTTCAATAGAAGTACAACAATTGAAATGTATAGTTTTAGAGAATTTGGTGGTGGTACGTTTGCAAAATCGGTATGTTTCATAGTTATAGTTCTGTATCCCAATTAAAAAGCAATAAAATCATTCTTTATTACATACTAGCTGTCCTCCGCGTCTCCGTCCAAGTGCAATTAAGAAAAACTTAATTAGTACCCTATGTGTTCTTCCAGACTGTGTTCTACATGTATGGCAAATTTCAGCAAGATCTATGCAGCGGTTCCGGAGATACCTTCTAACAAACATCCATCCATCTATTCATGCAAACATTGTCAGGCACTGTCGAAAAAAATTAACCGATTATAATTAGTTCATTAGTTATCTACAACGCGGCAGTCATGCATAAATACAAACTCTCTCCTTTGTACAATCGAAGTGTTTTTTATTTCACAAAGTAATAGAAATTAAGCTGATTCGAAGTTTTTTCACCGGGTTTCCGATTGTGCTTAAGTTGGCACTTTGTCGCTCGGCCCTCGTTCCCAAAGAGCCCTTGACCACTTGTAGGTGACTTTGTTGACTGCGAATATTGAAATAAATAAATTGAAGGTTATTTTTTTCTGAATGCCGTATTATTTATTGTTACTGTTTTTATCGAAGTTCGCGACGAATTGGAAATTGTTCAGGTTCATTATTGTCAGGTTATATTTAGAGTTTGCATTTTATAAAACGTGCTTTGTGCCAATTATTGATGTCTCATTTCTTTAGTGTAGATTAGAAAGGACAATAGGATATTAAAATGAGAGGGGAATAAAAAGCGAATCATTTCTCTTGTAACACATCAGTATAAAATGGATACTTCATTTTGATTCGAATTGTCCTTGAACATTATCGGTTCCTTCGATGTTAAATCCTGGTTTCGTTTTTTTTTCTAGTCTGACTTCAGCGGTCGCGTAGTAAACAACGACCACTTCTTGTACTGGGGTGGCGTGCAGAAGGAGAATGATGAGCAGGAGTACCGCTTTGAGGTTATCGAGCAGACGGAATTCGTGGATGATGCCTGCTTCCAGCCGTTTAAAGGTAAGTCTAATAGAATCTTTAACACGTTCACTGCTATTGCTGATACGTAAGATATTGCAAGTATAATGTGAGGGTAAATTTTGTAGTATTTTTATTCAAAGCAGAATGTATTTTTAATATCTTAAACCAGCCCTAGACGATAGAGTATATAATGTTATAGTTGAGTAATTATAAAACAGTTGTTATCTCTATTTTTTTTAACGAAATAGAAAGGGATGTCAATATTATTGTAATAAAAGTGTTACGACATTTGAAACTCAACGTTAATTACTCGGTTATTATTGGACAGTTGGTAAAACAGAGCCATACGTGAAGAGATGCGTCGCAACAAAGATACAGTCAGCAGAGAAGTTGATGTATGTTTGCAAAAACCAGCTGGGCATAGAAAAGGAATACGAGCAGCGGCTGATGGCTGATGGCAAGCTGACTGTGGACGGCTTCCTCTGTGTGTATGATGTTAGCCTGGTACCTGGCAGGACGTGGGAGAAGCAGGTAAATTAGTGAAAAAATGAGAGAGGAGTTTTGTTTATTACTTTCCTTTATTTACTGTGAGTTTCTGAGACTAAAATCTCTTATTGAACCATATTGTTGAAGATTTATAAAGAAATTTTTGTCTCAGAAACCTACGTTTATTTACACTAAATCAACCTTATTGATAAACAATGGATGTGTTTTACAAACAAAACTTAATTTATATGGAAGTTTTTTTGAAGAAATTATGAAAATAATACAATCACAAAACAAGGATAAAGTGTCCTAAAGTGTATTTGAACTAAAAGTTAGAAATATCTTTTTTAGAATGAAATAACAGCGGCTATCCTCCAGAACATAATCAAACTGAAGAAACCAGTTGTCCTGGTGACGTCAAAGAATGATGAAGCCTGTGAACAAGGTGTGAGAGAGGCGGAGAGACTCGTCCAGAGGAAGGAATTCAAAGGCAGCATACCAATAGTGGAGACCTCCAGTCATGATAATGTCAATGTAGACCAGGCATTCTTTCTGCTCGCTCAGATGATTGATAAAGCTAAGGCTAGGATTAAGGTGAATATCTTTTAGTTCTTGGAAAATAAATTGTATTGTTATTACCCGGAGTCATAGATCAATGCTAAGAGAAACCATTTAGCGACTGTGAGTCCTTTAATAGTGAGTAAAGCAACTTCTCAGTGTAGATTTATCATCCTAAAAATCTGACCTTCCAAAATATGAATCAAACAATCAAATCTTTTTTCTTTATAAGTATAAATTAATATTTTGATTGATTAAAAAGATTGATAGATGTTTGTTACAAGGTTACTATGGAACGGCTCAACTGATATGGATGAAATATGGCACAGATGTAGAAATAGTCTGGAAGAGCTTGTAAAAGTTTTTTTTTAAATTCCGCGCGTACAAGTCGCGGGCGACATCTTGTCAATTATAAGGGTTACTTATTGCCTTAATACTAGTTATATAATTTTCAATATATTCAATGTGTATTACAGGTGGCCAACTATGCGGAGGCTCTAAGGATAAGACGCGAGACTCTAGACTTTGTGACGGAGGCATTCACTCAGCTCATACGGATACATGTACAAGACCACAAGTAGGTATCCTTAACATGATCCATGCTTCTACAAATAGTATGTTTTTTGTATGAAAATCCTGTTTATTTATACTGTTTGGTTCTACCAACTAGAACCTGTTTTATATATATTTATTCAACCAAACTTTGTTTTTAATTGTATTGATAATATCAAACTGTTTTCAGGGAAATGTGGTCAGCGGCCAGCAAAAGATTATGCCACTTTCCGGAATGGATAAAGTTTGTTCAGCAGTTTGGCAATGATGGCACTCAGGTATTCATAACAAACCCGTTTTGACAGATTCGATTTTTTTTTCTTAATTTTTTACCCAAATTATAAGTTTAGGTTTATATTTATTTATTATTTACTTTAATGTATTTTTTGGTTATTAGGTGGTGTACCGACGTCATATACGACGTCTAAAGGAAGAGCGGTCAGCAAAGAAACTCAGAAAGCAACTAGCTAAGCTGCCCCAAGCGCTGTCTCGTATGAACCTGCCTACTGAAGATTTACAGGAGAAGTAAGAGATCATTGTCAACTCTATTATGTCATTGTTACTGTTAGGAAGAAAATACGACACTGTTCTGGTGTGTCGGCGCAACACTAGCCTTATTAAAATATCAACCCTTATGTCCCCTCACTAATGATTCTGACACTTGACTTGGTAACGAAAGCGGGTTATTCGCTCTAAATTATTCTAACTAAAACTAATATTGACCTATAATTTTAATTTACCTATATTAGAATAATATTGGTAGAAACAGTCTTTTCTCTGGCACAATTGTATAGTTTGGTTTTATCGATAACTTTTTACCTTTATCGATGTTTTCATATCGATAGTTCTGTATCATTTAACATATCGATATTCCCAGTGACTGGCCGATGGTGGTCCGCCAGCTGCGGTCGCACCGCGACTTCCCGGTGTACTTCAGCGAGGGCCGCGGCCGGGACTCCGCCTCGGGCTCCGGATCCGACCTCGACAGCCCACTCAACACCGACACTACGTTGCGGCTCGGCGAACGAGTGAGATATCAGGTACACGCTGTCACATTATTTCAGTCCAGCGTCGTATTGAAACTAATAACCGACACTGGAATGCACTTTGTTGTTTGCACCATAATATACCTGAGAGTAATGAAGAAACATTAGACACAAGATTTTTTTTAATGCAAAGGAATTAAAAAATGGTAAATTTGGTGTTCATTTGTCTTTAAATATTTTTCTTTATAGACATTGGGGCAATCACAGAAGATACCTTACGATATATTGGAGACGAACGAAGCCGCTGCAGTATTCAAAACCTTCCTACACGAGGCTCAAGAAGAACAGAGAAATTATGAGTAAGCTGTTAAATAAACATTAATGCTATTAAGTTAAACTTTGCTTTAGTCGAAACTATTCAAAGAAACTAGGACTTTTGGCTACAATTAGTTTTATCTTCTTTGTTAAATTCCATAATTTCAACAGATTTTGAAATTTGTGTTAATTAGATGTATGAATGAAGAAGAAGCGAGAAAGGTGTGTCAGGAACACACCAAATGAAAGTCTGTGATCTCTGCCTACCCCTCTGGGTTACCGGTGTGAGTTATGTTGTTGTTTATAAAGTTTTTAATTTATTTATCTCTGTAAATATCAGATGGTGCCAGCAGTTCAAGCGTCTGCTGGAGGAGACCGGCTATGTAACACCAGGCAAGCAGCTGTCTGAGGTGCGCGTGTTGTTGATGGGACGCGAATGCTACGAAGCGCTGTCTGAGGAACAGCAGCAACGCGTCTATGACCAGCATCAGCGTCAGATACAGCGTCGTGCCAAGCATAACTTGCAGGTCAGTCATGCTTCTAGTAACTTCCAGAAGATTCGAGTCAAGTAGGGCAAGTAGATGTCGGTTCTGGTTCTTGCACTTGAGTTTGGCCACCGAGGGGGCTTTAGTGGGACAGTATCTTTGGAAGATATGGATACCCCTTGATATAGAAAAAGAGCAAGCAGATGTCTGTATTGTCAAGTGTTTGAAATGTGTAAAAATATATTCTACCTGTATATTATTTTGCTAGTGGAAATCATAACAAGTTTCGATTCCAGGAGCTGCTGTTGGAACATGCGGATCTATTCTATCACTTTAAAAGCATATCCCCCACTGGCACAATCACACAAGAAGATATCAAGGAAATAACTGATGTACTGCAAGACGATTTTAGGTATTGCACACTGTTAATTTTAATATCATCTTACTAATATTATAAATACGAATGTCTAGATGGATGATGGATGTTTGTTTGAAGGTATCTCTGGAAAGGCTTAAAGGATCTTGTTGAAATTAGGCACAGATGTAGAGTATTCTGGAAGTACACATAGGCTACTTATTACGTTTAGCATTACATAATGTCAAAACTACCATTCTTTCTTCTTTGTTACTCTTTTTACTGATTCGCTTTTGACATATAAAGTTTATAATCACTATGTACCAGGTACAAGATGTTGGATCGCATGGAGCAGGACCGCAAGCTACTGTTGTTCCAGCATCTAGGCTTCGTGCATTGCCCCATGCGCGAGCACTGCCCCGCTGCCGCCAACTGTCTCGACGCCACGCTGCCAGTCATACTGAACACACGAGTCGGGTCAGTAACCATTGCCGAATACTGAAGGATATCCATGGCGTTCAAATTCCTAAAACTATTCTGTAGATATTAGTTGTTTTGAGTTTTACGATATATTTTATCGAAATTTACATAACGTTATATTTAGTAGGATACTAATGTCTATGATTTCAGATCATTAACATCAGGAAGTGAATCGCAATGCCAGGCGGGTCCGCCGGCCGCGCCCTGGGCCCTCACCACAGACTCCAACCAGATTAATGTCATCATATTGGGGGTGAGTGTCATCTAATGATGTACTGAACTATCCCACATATTTTTAAACTAACGAGCTTGTGACAAATCTTGTATAAAAAGTACTTACAAAAATAATTTTGGCCAATTTTGCCGAATTTTATTAGCCATACATTGAGCTTACAATTTTTTTGTTGAGAAAGAGAACGATATTGAAATATCTTTTCCGAAATAACGATATGTTTGTACTGGTTCAGTAATGGAAATTAAAAGTAAAGATGTGTTGTGCAGATGGAGGGTGTGGCGGGAGAGTTCGGATCGCGGCTATTAGCGGGGTGTGACGCGGCGCGGCGTGTCTGCGTGCGCGGACAGCCGTGGCGCGTGCAGCAACGCTTGAGACTCGCAGATGCTGATGACACTACTGACACTGATAATGATGACTTCGCACCTAATGGTACGCTTGCACGTTTTAATTACACAATAATATTAGATTTATCGTGGGTTTCTGAAGCTAAAATCCCGGTTTAAAATATATTGGTTACGCTGTTTTGTCAAAGATTATGACAGAGATGACGATATGTTTTATACGAATTTTCGTCTCAGAAACCAAGGGGGTTGATCCTACTCTCGTCTAAAGAATGTTTTCAAACCTTAAGTCCGTAGACAAAGTATGATTTGATTAGTTTTGTAATAAATTTTTAGGTTACTTTTGCGTGTATCAAGATCAGGAGTCGTTTGAATTCATCAGAAATTGTGCGGAGAAGACGTTGCTGTCTAGTCTTGAGCAAGAGGATAAATTGCCTTTTCAAGTAAGTATTTTTTACATCAAATAAAATAATTATAATTATGAATTTGGATAAGCTCAATATAACTAACAAACAATTACTGTGTTATAGGGTCTTCCATTAGTGGTGATGTTTGTACAAGACGAGGGAATGGATAAGAAAGAACTCTCCAGGCTCCAGGAAGAAGGGCAGAATCTCGCTGATAAGTAAGTGATTTGTTATCTTGCGTTCATACAACTGAAAAATTATTTTTATAGGATTCTTGGTCGTTGCCGTCTCTTTTGTTAATGTATAATGTTTTCTCTTTTATTCTCATGGACAAAACGGAGACAACAATATGATACGACTGTCAAATTCTATGGTTCAATCACTAGTACATATTCAGAAATAACATGTTTGGTGTTCGGGTTATTTTTCAAAACTGTAAAGTTTTAAATATTTTATTTTTATTTTTTTTAGTGCTTATAATTATTATTATGGTGTATCTGTATTTTGATTAACAATTTATTTATGTCCCAGCCTGCATTGTTCATACATGGAGGCGTCTGTGAGCGAGCTGGGCACGGAGGCGCTGACTGCTGACGCTATACAGGAGCTGATCCGCACTAACAGAGAGAAGGCGAGCTATGCGCATCTCTACAGAGACCTCATCGTTTGCTTCGACTCCGATATACGGTAATTATATCGTCGAAAGAAGAACACAGTTTTTGATAATTTACAATATTAGTAGTTGGTAGTTTACTTTTTGTACCGTCTATTGATACATGTTATATGTGTTCCAGGATAATGGTGTGCATGTTCTGCGATGACCCTTACTCGCCGGAACGTGTGCTAGGCCCACTGCTGGGTCACCGCGCTTGCTTCCTTACCGGTGACCGCTCTATTGTCATAGAGACGTTCTTAGGAGACTCCAAGAGGAAAGTCGAGGTAAGTTTATGATGGTTTAACTATCCATAGATTGTCTCTGTGATGTCAATTACTGTCTAGATTAAAAAAAAAAACGGAATTAGTAAGCTGTGTTCTTTCAGACTATGTTCTATATCTTTGCCAAATTTCATTAAGATCCGTTTAGCAGTTCCGGAGATACCTTCTAACAAACATTATGCATCCATCTAAACATTAATATTTATAATATTTTAGTAGGATATTGATTTTTCTTTTCAAAAATTTCAGGTGATCATATCGAGTTTCCACGGCGCCAGTCAGTTCAGAGAGGAGTTAATTCATGGCTTTATATTGATATACTCGGCCAAGAGGAAAGCCAGTTTGGCTACTCTCAAGTTAGTATTTATCTTTTTATATTTTTCCTTTGTCTTTTATCAAAATGATAATGTTTTGTCAAAGTCTTCCAAAAGGCTGCACTAAAGAAGAATGATGTGAGATGTAAATGGTTTTCCTTGAGAGAGAGAGAGAGAGAGAGAGCTGTGACACTAAAAATACTCTTTCTTTCCCTCTCTCCCGCTATCATTCTGTCTTTGCCACACATTAACAATATTGTATGTTCCAGCGCATTCTCAATGAACATTCCTAATCTGCCGATCCAAATGGTGGCGGTGACTGACGGGGGCGGGTCCGCGGCGAGCGCGTTCTTCGGCACCGACCTCGGCCACGCCCTCATCACGGAGGGCAACGCCACCGCGGACAGGCTCGGCGCCCACTTCACTACATATACTTCCAGTGCTGAGAACAAATGTTAGTACATACGTACAGCTTGTGATATGAAAGTAGGATATGATATATAGACTCTAGATAGCTTTAGTTACGAAGTGAATACTTGACAGCAAGCAAGCAAAGCAAGCTACTAATAAAGATTACTCCGCAATGGTGCAACGCATCTCATTGAAATTTGGCACAGATATAGAACATAGTCTCCTGTGACACTTTTCTTTTTTTAATTCTGCGCAATCAATAGGGCCATAGGTTTATTTAAGTTTATCTTTAATTTATCTTGTCATTATGTAAAACTAATAAATATGTAATCAATGTTCCAGCTGCATTCTACACGCCGTTCTTCAAGGAGGTGTGGGAGCGCAAGGGCGAGATCGAGCGTGCCTTCCGCATGGAGCAGCCGCACAACCTGCCCGACGTGGCCGCCGCGCGCCCCGCCCCGCCGCCGCGACACCACTCACACCACCTCAACCACAAGTATCTACCCATACATACATACACATACAAACAGACAGCTCAGAAGCCTACTATCATCCTTCTAAGGAAAATTTTCAAATGACCTTGAGAATTACTATTCCAATGTTTTTTCAGCTACTATTGTGCAGAAGCCTAGTTAAACAAGTAATTATTTACAATTTATGTAATTTTATTTGTCCGACAATTTTGGAACTTGTTTTCAACGAAGATATGTATTTAATCAATAATCAATTATTCTTGTTTTATTAACATTTTGTTGTAATATTTCAGGATGGAACACAAGCTGACTAACTCATTGGATCTACTGATCGGGCCAGACTCACGCGCTGACATCGACTCTGAATATAGCGATACTTTGAATAACTCCAAGAATAGAGGTTTTCTCAAAGGTAAACACATAAAAATATTGCTATGTAGACGGATTACTATAGAAACTCTATTAACTGTCTATATCTAAGTGTACAAAATCTCTAAAAGTTAGTAAATTAAATTGGACTACGTCTTGATGAATTTGATGTACCAAAAACATGAAATTATAGAAATACTAAAAAACTTGAAAGTGTAGTACTGTATATTTGATTTTTGTAATATTTGTGACAGGATTCAGTGTGTACCCGCCGCCGAGCACGCCGCCTGAGCCCGCTCCGCCTGACCACAGGATGCATGCGGATCTGTCTCGTAAGTGTAATGAATTACGATTCAAAATTGACTGACAAAGCTTTAATTATTGCAAACCTTGGAGAAATTGTTAATAGTAATCTTTCTGTTCCGTGGTTTCATTTATAGGGAAATTTAGACGCGTAAACATGTTAACACGTTCAGTGCTAAGAGCTCGGCCTGATCGCTCGAAAAAGTGGACATAATGGCATTGAAAGTGTTGATAATTTACGTCAATAATTGAATTGTATAAAATTTTGCGAAATTATAAAGTAAAATGTATGTAATACTTTACAAACGCAGCGGATCTGAACTGCTCGGAGGAGTCGCTGAGCACGCACGAGTCAGGTGACTGCACAAGCGAGTATCTTGTTACTGAAACACCATTATGTGTAGATAGACTTGTCTTGTCCTGTACCATACAATGGCAATGGCGATAGAGAAACTTTTGATTTTTATAACCCTAATGATTTAAAAAGACCATTTATAATGTTGAAATTGTATAATTCGAGACGCTAATCAGGAAAATAACCTTATTTTAAGTTGTTGACAGTTCTTCCTCTAAGGAAATATCCACGCGACAAAATCTTGTACTGCTAATATACTGGTGGAAAGAGTCTATATTGAAATCTTTTATAAAACTGTTTTTATCGCGTTGGCATAATTATAAGAATGTCAAGTTAAAATCCAAAGTTTCTCTAACAAGGTTTTTTTTATTTAGGGAATGCGTTTAGTGTTTTTTTTTAATTTATTTCTGCATGAAAATAGTAAGATTGTGATTCTGTTTATTTGATTTTAAGTTATTACTTTTATGTAATTATTTAAGGACATTATTTTATATGCGTAGTTTATAGTGTCTTTTATATATTTTTAATTGGATTAAATGAATATGGAGTTGTCTAGTTTTAAGTATATTATTATTTTGGCACAATTTGTTATAATTAATCTTTATTATTTACATATATTGGAATTTAAAATAAATTTATTCTGCACTATATGTATTGTAGAAAGTGTGTGCATGAAATTAAATCCAAAAGAAAACTGTCCTGTTTTTAGTAAATTGAATGAATATAAAAATGACTATGTATGTTAAAAATTGTCACCTTGAGTGACCTTGTGATCTTGTGACCAGCGGTGGCATGTAACGTTGCAGACGGAGGCGGGGTGTGGCAGCCGGCGGGGTACGGACACCGCGCGTTCACTACGGGCCGCACGCGCCCGCAGCCACCGCCACAGAGACCCAGGCATTCACAGACTCTCAAGGTATGATGAAAGTAACCATTGGATTACATTACTGTGAGCTTTTATTTACATATTTTTGTCTCTTTCGTTTTTTTTTTTGAGGAGACACAAGAATATTTGTACAAGTGTTAGTTTTTCCATTTCTTTCCACTTTTTTTTAGAAGGAAAGGATGGGAAGGGGCAGTGGATTTAAAGGAGGAGGGGATTTATAAGAACTGGAAATATTATTATAAATTTCTGGGCGTCCTCCTCCGTCGATTAAAAGTAGGTAACGCATCTATAATTGCGAGTGTCTCTGGGTAGCGGTTACTTCGCTATTTCAGCGAATCCACTTGACCTTTTGGTCATTTGCCATCTAATAATATGTTTTTTTTTTAAATAATGTCTGAAATACACTATCATAACGGTCTTGTTATATGTTTTTTGTTTTTTCGATGTTATAGCAACCTGGCAAATTGGATATGAATAACTACACGATGGTGAGCGACGCGCTGCAACATATCACTATCGGCCCTCCACACTCGCGCGATAGAAAGGTACGCCTGTTTATCTACTACCCACATATTCTAAGTGCTAGGTTGTCTTGTGCTCTTCTTATGATTCAATCATTTTGGAATCTATGACCTAATTGAGATAATAATATCTAGCATTTCTTACAAAATTAATTTCTCTTTTTATAATAGATTTTTCTCAATTATGTCATTTTAAATCATTTTCAGTGGATGACTTTATTAACGATCATTTCTTTTCAAATTACTTTCATAAACACAATTTTTCAATAATGTCAGGCAATATAATAATAAATTGGGTTTGTGAAGCTTTTCTTGTTGGTTAATAATAAAAAAATGGAAGTAATAATACTTTATTGCCTGTTATTATACAAATTCATGCACATAGTCCTGCGAGCCGGACTCGGTGGTATCAAATTTAATTGATTTTTAAGGCATCTTTGCAGTATTTTTTAAAATTTCAAACGTCAAAGCATAGAATAACATTTGTCATTTAATTCGTTTTGGAGAGATTTCTAAAAATTGGTCCTTTGAGCCGGATTTAGACTGCAGCGATTAGTTTTGTACGGAACCAACTCGAGGGATTGTACCGATTTAGTTCGGAGGTGGGTGGGTAGGTAGATGGGTACGGGTAATGTGGTATGGGTACATGGTCCCTCGAGTCGGAGAGTGTGAGTTGTGTGGGGCAGACGGGGCGCGGCTGGACGCAGGCGGGCGCGGGCGCGCAGCACCACCACCCCTCCGGCGTCAGCTCCGAGACCGAGCTCGACGCGCAGTACGCCCAGGTACAAGGGCACGCGGATATGCATCTTGTCACCCTTGCATACAGTTCATTTTTGCATGGCGTTTTTTTGTGTTCCAGCTGTATAGTACCTTTACATTCATAAACCGCATAACAGCTAATGTTTTTTTATACTTAAGGACTTAGGCTTTCTAGCTATATAAGCAGATTTGACACTGCAAAATCTTTTTATGAATAAACACATAGATAGGTCTTAAATAGCATTGTAATTGTGAATTTGGCTATATTTTAATGACTGCAATGAGCACGGTTGATTTATTCAGCTTTTGATTGTTTTATTTTTATTTTTTTCAAATATTTTTACAATACGTAGAACTGTAGGTAATTTTTTTATAAACGTTGGAAGCTTAAAATATTTATTTATTACCAAATATTTTAGCTTATTTATTAGAGTATTAAAAGCAAAATATACTAAAACTGTCAAACCTGTATAAGCGAGAGTCCAAAGGACCGCGATATTTTTAATTCTTATAAAGATTTCCTTCAAACCAGAGTTTCTCGCTTTATGGAGGTCGTTCGTCGACCAGACATTCATTCTCGCTTATTCTGGTTCGACTATATAATATTTGCTACATTATTTGTTTGTTTTGAGAGTGTATTTAGTTGAAGTAATGTATTATGTATGTTTTATAATATTTTATTGCCTTTCCAGATCAAAGAGACTAATGAATATATGGAGGCGCCATCTATGACGAGACTTAGGAGACATAGAAGGCATGAAAAGACTCCTTTACATCAACCATGTATGTATTTTCTTATATATTATGCTAGTTACATAGACATTTTAAATAACCAAGATTTAGGATTGTTTTACAATTTGATGGTCCTATGTGTTCTTCTAGACTATGTTCTACATCTATGCCAAATTTCGGCTAGGTTCTATAGATACTTTCTAATAAACATCCATCCATTCAAATATTCGCATTTATAATATTAGCAAGACATTCATAAATTTCTAATGGCACAACACTTGTTCATTATTTTGTCTCTGTTCGATTTAAAAGACTGAAAGGGACGACAATATCTTTTCCGACAGTGGAAACCCACACTTAATTCTTATTTTTGTGACAGCATTCTCTGAGACTGACAGTTCGGGGTCCAGCGAGGCGTCAGGCGGCGCGGCGCGGATACATGCGCGGCGGCGACACAACGCGCACCACGCTCCTAGACATTACAAAAAAAGGTCAGTCTGCACAAATACCACACTATAAAACCATTGGTAGACGTCAACAACATCTGTTGCACGAGGTTAATTCGGTGCAATACCACGACCATAGACATTCTTCAAGTGGAAGTCATTCCAAGTGCAGTCTGACGAGTGTGCGTGCCGGAGGACTAACTTTATTCCTCTTTCAATTTCCGTTCTTTTATTAGAAAATGATGGGGAAGGGAAGATTTAACTGAGGAGTGGTACATAGGAAGGGAAAATATCCCACATTTTGTGCGTCCACTCCTCCATTGATTAAAGGTAGGTAATACGTCTGCAATTGCGGATCTCTACAGGGTAAAGTGATTTGGTCATGTATCTTAAGTAAAATTATTATGTGACAGGTCTCTAGGCAACCTAGTGGCGGTGCAAAGTCCACGTGTACCAAAGCTGGGCATGTTCGTAGGCCCGCCCGAGTTGCCCAGCGGATACCGGGCGAGGACTCAAGAGGATAAAGGTAAACGAAATACTTTTATATTTTTAATTTAATTAATATCCTTATTGTTTACAAGGTTAAGTAGCCCATCTAAAATAACAGAATAAGATAAGTTTGTGTAATGTTACAGCGGCTGCAAGCGACTCCAGTGATGGCAGCTCGGATGGTGAGACGCGCCGTCCGCGCCCTCTACCGCCTCCCCCACACCATGAGCCTACGCACAAGGTATTTAGATTTACTAAGAGTCCCTTAGTGTAGGTTTAGTGTAGATCAATTTTGCCTTCCCGTTAAATTCTCGTCAAAATCGGTACAGCCGTTCCGGAGATTACTCGGAACAAATGCAGCCTTGTGGACATTCAGACACATTTAAAAAATTGTTTTCCGGTATCAGCAATACAATATGTACATACAGAAGCTCCAATTTTATTAACATGCATATATATCGATGAAAACTGTTTGCACCTATAAATAAACTTTGTGTCATTTTTATTTCATGCAACAGGACCGAATGCCTTATGAGGTTAGTTCTCAATAGAATTTATGTAATATAATGAAATTAAATTTTTCCTATTAAAAACGAATAATTGTAGAAAGTAGATAATAAAAGTTGTGATAAATACTAGTACAAAACATTGCTTTGTTATGTTAATATTTTCTGCAATTTTTCTTTTGCAGCTTCTATCTTGCGAGTACCCGTCCTCCGCACAAGACAACTCGTCCTCCAGCGCAGCAGACTCGCGGCGTCGCGCGCAGCCCTTCAGCAAACACGACCGCAGGCATAAGGTTCATAACCATTTCCTACTGTCGATCTAGAAATTAAAAAAAAATAGCCTATGTGTCCTACTAGAAGATGTTTTACATGTATGTCAAATTTCACTGAGATTCATGCAGCTGTTCTGATACCTTCTAACAAACATCCATCCGTCCAAACATTCGCATGTATAATATTAGTATGAAATAAGTTTGTAAATGTCACTTTACTCTTAATGATTTTTATAAACTTTTGCGATTTAATACACAATTGAAATTATAAAATAATAGTTTGAATTGTTCTCTTTATAATTCGCCTTGTAATTTAATTAAAAAATAATTTAATAAGACATTTAATTTTACAGGAATTCTCCAAAAGTAAAGACAAGAAGAATTCATCGCAGATAACAAATGCTCCGTCAATACAGAATTGGGGTCCACAGGTGATTATAATTCCTTATACATATTCAATACTATCTTTCTACTACCAAACTTCACTTTTATATAAATTTTCATTTTTAATACATGTGAATTTGAGAACCGATTTAAATTTCCTCCATACATGTGTCATCCAGCCTCCATACATTATATTCCAGGGTCCGCACGGCGTGCCGCTGTTTGTAGAGAAGTGCGTGGAGTTCATAGAGCGAGAGGGTCTTGCTTCAGAGGGCCTGTACCGTGTGCCCGGCAACAGGGCGCATGTTGATATGTTGTTCAGCAAGTTTTATGAAGGTTAGTTAATTTAATTATATTCCTAAAAGCCTATATTCAACTGAATTTCCTTGCCTTCTCTGTTCATCATCTCCCTGTCTTTATCGCACTCATGTGGTGTCGACGCACAAAGATTTCGTCCTCCATATCGATCTAACAGATTCGTAATTTCTAAATGAATTATATTAAACTAGGCTTTGACTGCAACTTCGACAATTCAACGTTTAAAAATCTTACTTATTAATATTATAAACTAGCTGACGAGCTGATGGAAAGGCAACAATAATATATGAAATAACATTACTTTATGTTTCAGATCCCAACATAGATCTAGAAGCGCTAGACATCCCAGTGAATGCGGTAGCGACCGCTCTTAAAGACTTTTTCTCCAAGAAACTGCCGCCGCTGCTGGATGAGGCTAGTATGTCGCAATTGGAAGATATTGCTGGTAAGCAATTCAGTTATCCCAAGTACCGTCATATTTTAGGTAAAATAAGGTGCTGTATTTACCGTTGATTTCTGAGACCAAAATCACCGTTTAAAACATATTGTTATCTCTGTTTTATCAAAGATAATGACAAGGATGACGATATGTTTTATACAGAGATTTTGATGTCAGAAATTACTTTTAGAAAAAGATGTCAAATAAGCAACCCGATGTGACGTCACTGGTTTATTGATGTCTGAGACAATATACAATGCATATCAAATTAAAATGTGCTTTTTAACATGACTACGATCTATCGATACGCACAATATTTCAAACGCACTATATAGAGTTGTAAAATAACATTCATTGCCTATTAAATTGTTTATATAGTAAAGTAACTGTGAAAAAGGACAACCGTGTTGACTTATGTTGTCTTTGTTTTATACAAAACGAAAGTAAGTGATGGCAATATGTATGTCTATAGCGATGCGCGGCTGCATAGCTGGGGGCGTGGAGCTGAAGGACCGCAGTTGGCGGCTGCTGGCACTCCGATCGTTGCTCAATACTGCGCTTACACCTGTCGCCCGTGCCACACTGGACTATGTGCTGCATCACTTTGCCAGGTAGACAACCTCACACACCACCCCACACCGGCATCCACTTATTTACGTCGGACAAAAAATATCTCAGGCCAAAAGAGTTGTACATGAATCTATGCCCTGGGAACACAGTATTAGGAAGAGATGGTTAGATTATCTAAAGTAGAAAGGCCACACAGAAATCTACATATAAAAATGCCTTTATTCGCCTCTTTTCGTTTATTCTCGTGTCTAATATACAGGGAACAAATAATTCTGTAGTATTTCTTAGTTCACACACAATCAGTAAGAGTTTAGCTAAAGTTTATTTATAAATTATATTTCAGGGTTGCGGATAATTCTAAGTTGAACTCAATGGACAGCAAGAACCTGGCGATCTGCTGGTGGCCGACGTTGCTCCCCGTGCAGTTCTCAGACATGGGCCGCTTCGAGATGACACGCCCCTACCTCGAGGATATCGTCCAGACCATGATCGACCAGCATCCCTTCCTCTTCAGGGGGCAAGAGGCCTTTGTTATGGTGTGAGGAACGTGTGTAAGTGTTGTATATTCCCACGAGGTGCAGCTGACATATAACTGCAACTGTCAACAACATGTTGGTAGTAATTGAGCATTTAGACGTTTATTAATGGAATAATTACTATAATAAAATATTTGTGGGAACAGAATGAAAAATAATATAGTGCTAAGAAATAAGAAAATAGTGCGATAAAGCCTTAACCTTTCTTTAATCTAGGCTAAAATGTGTAGATCTATATAAAAAATTGGTGTGGTACAATTTCCAGGAACCCACAATGCATGTTGCATTCGTGATGGACGACGTGTGACGTCAGCAGGGGGGTGTGACGTCATGACGCGAGCACGGCAGCGTGTCGTAACGTGTCTGTGGAACTTGCCGCCGCAGTGGCGATGTGACAGCTAGTGCGTAAGTTTGCCTTGGGGCGCCACTGTCGCGCGACTGACACCTGTCAATGTGACACTGACAGTTGGCGACAGATGAGCGCCTCCACTGTTGAGTTGCTGTGGTCGTTATAAATTATGGAAGTTCGGCCGTTGTTCCAGTGATTGAAATGCGGTTTATTTTGTACAAGTGTTGTCATATCATATCGCGCTTAGTGGACGGCGATCTTACGAGTTGCTTGCATTTTGATGTCTAGACGCTTTTTATATAATGAATTTCTACTTGTGAGAACGCAACGGAAGCCATTTTGTAACGTACGCGTCGTTGGAAATCGAATCGTATTTCGTTTAGTATTAAGGTTGAAATTCGAGCACAAAATCTTAAAATTAAGTGATACCGAATAAGCAATTATATTTGTATAATCGATTTATGGCAACACCATTTACGAGCACATTCCGTTCACTCGAAAAGTAAATATTGATATAACTGTTAATATTAATTAACATAGTGATATATATGTGTAACGTTCTTTATATGTGCAAAATATCATATAGGAGCTTTTATTTATTGTTTAAAAATATTTTTATTTATATATTTGCTTGATGTATTAATCGAAGCTTGGAATTATGTTGTATTATGTATTTATATGATAAATATAGCAGTAAGGTCGTGTTTCGGCGAAACAAATATTTATACTCCCATTTGATATTTTTAGGTCGTATATAATCTGTTTTTTAAAGCTCTATATGAGCTGTTTGAAGTGGCATGTTCTAAATTATCCAAGATTTGATCCAATATTTGTATATGTTTGTTCAAATGTTGGTCATAGTTTGGTGAATGTGACATTTAGTGTACTGCACAGTCTTGCCACAGACTAAAAAATGCCTGTGTAGTTGTGTACACAGACTAAAAATGCCAGTCTAGCTAGTGTCAGCAGAATCGCTAGTTAGTCAATGTTGATGCATAATCTAGTGTTATGATATATTTGTGAAAGTACTGGAGTCATTGGTATTAATATACAGTGTGATATTTATTGCCATTTTTTTATCTTTTTTTTTAAATTTTGTATAATGGAAACAAACACGATTTAGCTTTTATATGATTAGATGTACTGTTTTCGTTTTAAATTATATGCATTTATTTATTTTATGTATTTAAAATTACTAATCAATGGATCTTTATATGAATATCTATTTAAAGGTGATTTATGAAATTTATATTTAATTTATTTGCTTTATTTTTATTTAAATTTTATTTTGCTTTTTTTAATTTTAAATGACGTAATTGTGCAATGTTGATTCTCGGATTCTGAATAATGTTTGCTAATCAAAATTGTATCTCATCACAATATAATAAGGTTTATTTTTACACATTTCAGATTATTTTATTTATTTTTTATTTTCATACAATGTATTTTATGCATTTATGTTATCGGGCAGCTTTGTGATTCGTGAACTTAATTTTTTTTACAACTTTTTTTATATCTTATTTTATAAACAGAGTTTATATTTTTTTAAATATTATTTTTCGCACACTAATGTCCATGGTTTTTACTTATTTTGATGTAAACATTTATCTATGGACAAATTTTGTATAAGATCGGTTTTGTGCAGTGAATGGCCTATAGTGATACCCGTGCATGATAACATAACACCTAATCCAAATTACGTAATACATTGCTATCCCTCTCCAGTTTTAGGAAAAAAGAGATAGCAATGTGTGTATACAATTATGTGTAATGACGTCATCCCAGCGTCTGATGTTATTGTGCACGCGTTGTGTTTTATAAATAGACTGATATTAGTATTTTCGGTTTTTTCTTGACTACTAAATACTTTCCTTAATAATTACATATCCATAAATTACAATTTTTATATGAAGAATGTCTGCTTTTTAATGTTTTTTTTTTAAATTGTGTTTAATTATGTATATCGCGATAGGAAGTGCAATAATCCGCAGAAAATGTACTGGGAATGCTTGAATAGTTTTGATGGATGTCGTCTGATGTGAAATCAAAGTGTTACATTAAGTATTATATTAAATATACTAGATGATTCCATAAAGTGTAGTTAAGGTGTATTTAAACGTAAGTTTTTATCAATATATTTGTCATTATACAAGTCCGTCTCTTTCGCACGCTAGCTTTTTATATGTACAAAAGAAGTGTGCGAAAGAGATGACAATCATGTCCAACAGGGGGAATGAAATGTAGGGGGATTTTTTATATTTTACTATGAATGGAAAAAGACATAGAACCTGCCTGTTTCTTCTTTTCCTCTTCCTAGTCTTTCGCTTTTTGTCGATCTCACAATTTTTTTTCCATTTTCGAGATTTTCCCCTGATGATTTTTTAAATGCAATTTCTATATAAATAATTGATGTAAATATTGTACATTTATTCGTTTTTTTTAATGTAATTTATTTATTTTGAGATTATTTTTTATATGAAAGAGTTTTAAAAAGCCATATCTTTGTTACTCTATGCAATATGATTTTTTTATTGTTTTTTTTCTATTCGCACAATTTTCTTCACCTTTTCTTTTGTTATTCGGAAGTTTAGTGCCATTTTGTTTGGTGATGTGGGTCAATTTTGTGGAGTCCTATTTAATGATTTTTGTGGCCTGTAATTTTTTTTGTAGGTTGTCGAATTTTTCTAATGTAGAATCAATGTACGCTTAACTCACTGAATTCTCATCATTTGCCTTTATAATAAAATCAACCCTTTTAAACTTTTGAAGCGTCAATAGCCAAATGGTTAAGGGTACGGACTTCCAATTTTATGGTCGGAGCTACAAATCCCGCCATTTTGCGAGACATTTTACAATAACTGAGAGAAAATATTAGTACCATTGCGACTTGAATATTTTTATATGTCGTAAGATGAGAAGAATTCGCCGAAATAGCGAAGCTACCACTGCGCCTAGACATCAACTTGCAGATGCGTTGTCTACCTTTAATCGATGGAAAAGGGGACGTAGTGAAAGAAGAGACTCTTTCTGTGCGTCCCCTCTTCAGTCAAATCCCCAATCCCTTCCCATGATTAAAAATGAGTTTTCGAAACTTTTCTACTAATGAAGCCATGAATAACGTCCGATCCAAAAATTCTTTTGGAATCGAACATTTATTTTGATTGAAGGCAATTGATTAGGATCAGTGGGTAAATAAATTTTGCTATGTGCGTCTCAATTATAACTGTAAAACACTGTTCAAAAGAATGTGTCATACCTATTTTATAATAAATAACCATCTATGTATTAATCTGGTCTTTTTATTTACTTTATACCTCTGAGGTCCTACCACAAATATTCCTAAAAACGTTTTCGTGACGTCATCGACCAAATTTTGTATTAAAATTTGTACAGCGCCCCTACCGTACCTAAAGTACATCTGCAAATTTTGTCGATACGTAGTCACTATTTAGTGTAGGGAAAGTTTTAAATGATTACATGATTCAGTAATATTTGTAACAATAGGAGAGATGAAAAGCATAAGTTATATAAATAATACGAGAATAGAACCTTTTTTTGTAATATAATTTGTGTACCGAACATGAGTATTTCTATGACATCACAGAACATTTACAATATTTACATATTTCACTACTGATTTACATAAATTCCTCAAGGAACTCAATCTCCATTGTTCAAACATATTAAATCATATTGATATCCCTTTCACTCTCTTTGACAAAATAGAAACAACAATATGTTTTAATCACTGGACCTCTAAACGTCATTGGATAGGCTACGAGACAAAGTATTTTGTGTCTATTGAATGTCGCCATTTTGGCGCTGACTAGCGGTGGTGAAGATTTAAACTAATAATACAAAGAAGTTTACATATATCAAAATAAAATATATAAGTAAAAATGCAGGGGAAATATCAGCTTAAATACTTGAAAAAATTATTGCATTTTGAAATTAAACAGAAAACAAAATGTTTGTGTGAAACTATTACAATTAATTAAATTTCTGATTTAAAATCTATAAATACCTAATAGGGAGCACAAACGCGTGACGAAATAAGAACTCCGAAGGAGTTTTGTAAGGATAAATATCCAAAGTGTAGTCCCTTATGATACAATGACATTTAAAAAATTGACTCGATTAGTCAAACACTCCATCTATAAAGTTATAAGTCTACGGTCAATTTGTTCTGCTACTTTTTATTTAAATAACTTAATAGTTATGTTAATGTGTAGGTACTCTTTATTAACAAATTATTTTTTAAATTCTAAACTAAATTCACTTCACTAGCTATTGTTCAATAAATTAGGAAGAGTTCACAGAATATCCAAGCACCTGGAACATCAAACCACAAAAATGCCGTAAAAAAACAAATTCTGTAAATATTTGATATCTTTTTAACTTTTGAGGTTATAAATTTGTCACGAACACCATTTTCGTTCAATATTTAACATTATCGTAGTTCCTTTTCAAAATATTATTGGTTTTATTGAACATCCTGTTGTTATAATTCTTCTACATGTGAACCTTCGCACAACAACGTCATCTGGACCACTGAGAATCACTGGTTAATGTATTCCTTGTGCACATTGAACAATCTAGGAACAAACTCGATAGATTTAGGTCATTAATCGTTTCTTGTTCTACTCTCTATGATGTATCTACACGCAGCCGGCGCCCCAGCAGCCGCACCAGGGAATAGCGCCATCTTGCGGCGCGGCGGAGAGTTTGCGTGACTTGTGCGTGCACGCCGAGCCCAGGGAGTTCATAGACGAGCACACGCTGTTCGTCCTCTCGTGCTCCGAGTGGGATGTCGTCATCTCCTGGAAAATTACATTTGAAAATAAATGTTATGTTTCGTGTGACTAAAGTAAATCGTAAAAATACACATATATTTATATATAATAAAATAATAAGTGACACTAGCTATTATGTATTCTACTTTTTAAATGATATGAAATATTATGACTGAAGGAATATAGTGTAGAGAAAGTGTAGATTGACATAAATACAAAAAAAAAGAAAATACACACTAAAAACTTTACAGTTGTTGTGAATATTTTGTCTTATTCTAATTAGAAACCGGAAGATATGATAAAAATGTGCAGTCTTGTAGAGGCAAGTAACAGATACATGGTGTTCTCAGCGTGTCGGCGCGGCGTGGCGGCGGCGCAGCGTGTGTACCTGGTAGCTGTCCCGCTTGTAGCGCGGGCCCGCGGTGGAGGCGCGCGGGCGGTGGCGAGAGCAGCGCCGCGCCCGCGCCCCCTCGCCCTCCCCCGCACCCTCCAGCAGCCGCTCGTTGTCGCTCTCCAGCGGCGCCTGCACTCCGTTCTTGGCCGCACCGTTCTTTGCCTCCTTTTTCTTATCTCGTCTTTTTCTTTCTCTCTTTTTGAAGGTTAGCGAGAATCGCTTGCGCTTCTTCGCTTTCGGCGACTCCGGTCTCTGCGGTGCGGAGGATTTCTCTCTCTCGGACCGGCTGGTGTCGTCGTCCGGTGGCGGGGCCTGAGACTCGGAGTCAGTTTTGAGCGTGACCTCCGTCCGCACAGAGGAGTCTGGCTCGGCCGCCCGGTAGGCGACCTCCTTCTCGAGATTAGCGAGCTCCATGCGCCGCAGCCGCTTGGGCAGCTTGTTGACGGTCGCATATATCGGCTCCTCGTGGTCGCCGACGGGCGCCGATCGCGACCTGAAGAAGAAGTCGAACTTCTTCGGCTTGACCGGTATCCGTCTCTCGACGAAGACGACGGTGCTGGCCACTTCGGTGGTCGTCGTTAGCTCGTCGCCAGACTTCGGGCTGGAGTTGCTCGGGACGGGCGTCGAACGCGGGTAATCGTACGTCAGTTCTATATTTTTTTCAGTGACATAGGACTTAGGCGGCTGTGTATCGACTGGGGGCTGGTCGGTCGGGGCGTGTGGGGCGAGCGGGGCGAGCGTGTGGGGCGTCTGGCAGCAGCACTGACGCTGCAGCACGTGGCGCGTGTTGCACATGATGACGGAGTTCTGCTGGATGTAGGTGGTGTGCAGGGCGGTGGCGGTGGCGGCGGCGGCGGGCGGGAGCGGGGCGGGCGCCAGCACGAAGCCGGGCGGCGGGGGCGCGAGCACATGACACGGCGATGACGTCACCGACTGGAAGTATCTAGGCATATCGGGCGCATCGTGAATAATTACGTCAACTGTCCGCTCGTGTCCATTGTCTTCGAGTTTGGGTCGCGAGTCGACATTGTTTAGCCGCTCCATGTTTTGCGAGGTCACGTCCTCGCTGTCCTGGCGGGGCGCGGCCTCTGTTGTCGCATCGTTCCGACACTCCTCACAGGTGCATGGAGATTCAACGCCGCTCTGGAATTTAAAACATCAGCTATGGAACAAAATTTCGTCTACGTTTCATTTTATGTATATGTCGAATCACCAAATATTATAAGATACGCTAGAAGTTCAATTGAAATTCCGCGACATGAATTTGATAACATTCGTGTTTACTTTCAATAAAAAAATAATATTAGCTTTTCAATTAACTCGCATTTAAAAGTTGATAAAAAATATCACTGGCCACTTTGCAAGACGTGTTTGAATAAAAGTTGGCGCGCGCAACTGTCATTTTAAAATTACGACTTAACGTCAGCCGCCAGATTTGTCACGCTTATGACGGCTGGAGTCAAGAAATGTAACAAGAGAAATATAAATATTCGCTCCTATAATTCGCAAAAGCAAAAAGAATTTTGTTGTGAATTATACAGATATTTGGCATGGAGATATGATACAATTTTCAAACAGTTTTTGAACGAGTTAGATCGCATGCGGAAACACATTCCGAATTTAAACATGCTGTCAAAATAGTGATATCTAAAAATAATTTATTCATTTTTTTCTAAATTAAATGTCACATGTTTTTTATACGATATTAAATTTCAAATAGTACAATGCCATCAACCAATAGATTATATTTAATTTAAAATATTACTCGTAACATGTATTATTATTTAAATGATATTAACAGTATAACAAACTTATTTAACTAATAGAACTTTTAAATATAAAAAAAACACCTTTTGAGCCACGAAAACGTTTGGACGAACGCATGTTTTTAATCACTTTTCACAAGCTGCCAGTTCGTGGTCGTTCTGGACGCAACTGAGTTTATTTATAAGATTTTAAACACTAGGTGTATATTATTTTCAAACACACTTCGCGGCCGCCCTTGACTTATTTTCTTCAGTAAAACTGAAATCATATGGGGACTTTTGTACAACTCTAAAGCGCGCTTTTATATCAACTCTGGGAATCTATAGCTTCCTAATAGCTATGCTATTTTTGTTAGGATGATCTTGCGACGCGGAGGTACGATACGTCAGTCTCAGTGAACGCGAACTCGGCAAACTGTGTCTTTTTACGTGAGTTTAATTTTGTTCGTGATGATTCAACACATCAAAGATCTTTATTTTACTTTAGGTTAAACGAATTGGCAACATTTTAAACGCTTTTAAGCGTTTGGAGAAGTTACATTAAACTCAAAAATCCAGTCGACAAACTTTTATTTTATTCAGGACCATTTTAACCATATTGGGCGCCCGGGTGTTAATGTTTGGCGCCTCTAAAAGTTGTACGTTCTTTGGCTGACGCCCTCAGTTACCTGATATCTAAGGTCCTCTACTAAGCCCCTTACCTCCCCGATTAATCCTTCGTCCAGGTCATAAAATCAAGATAATTTTCACGATCATAGCAGAATCCCATGACTAGGAGACGTCTTATGTCCAAGTGTTTTTTAATCTATATAATGTACCTTGTTCCCCTCCTCTGCCTCCTCAGGCACGACGCTGAGGTCGTGGAAGGCGACAGCACGGGCAGAGTCCACACTGGCGCACTCCGGGCACGCGCTGCTCACCGACGCGCTGTCCTGCCAACACACAATGTGCTTTATTCACAAAACATACGGCACATTTTCGCATCACACACTTTTTATTTATTTATTTATTTACATGGTAGACTTACAGCTAGAAAGTAACAATAATAGACACAAGATAGTTAACATATAGCTATTAACAAGTCTACACTTATAGCAATAGCTTAAATAATTTGACAGTCAGCACATGAAGTATTTAACTTGACTTTTTTTTTTTTTTTTTAAATATAAATATATATTCAACCACCGCTCAATTTATCTGAAAAAATCCCGGCTTAGACAACTCCTCGCTGAGGACACACTAGTTGCAAACGGGTCGATATCACACTTCTTGCACAGTGTGTTGAAGCTGGAGCTCGCACGCACCACACACGAGTTCTGCCTGTAATTAGTTGACGCGTACGGTACGCTTATGATGGGATTGTACCTACAAGATTTGCTAGGTACACTAAAGTTGAATTTACATAGCAATTCCGGACAGTCGATATTATTTTTTAGTATTTTATGAACAAACATGAAGTCGGCAATCTCACGACGATTCATAAGTGGCAATAAATGGAATTTCTTACAAAGGAGGATATAGTCTTTAGAGTGATAAGGAAGTCTTTGGTGAAAGCAAAGGAACTTTATAAATCGTTTCTGTATATTTTCTAACCTATCAATATATTTATGATATCGGGGATTCCATACTTGCGACACATACTCCAGTTGACTTCTAACATATGTACAGTATAGTATTTTAAGAGTCTTAGCTTCAGTGAAGCATTTAGCGAGTCGCATAATAAACCCAAGCGACTTGGAGGCATTTTTGGCAATAGTGTCAATATGCATATTAAAGAATAAATTGTTATCATGATGAACGCCCAGATCTCTGGTGTCTGTGCATCTAGGCAGGTTTTGACCACCCAGCGTATAGGAAGTATTAAGTGCTATACGTTTTCGAGTATAAGTAATTACCGAGCACTTCAAGGGATTAAGATCGAGTTTATTTGTCGTGCAGTAATTTTCCAGTCGACAGAGATCAGCCTGAAGTGATATCATGTCTTCAAACGATGATATTGTGGCAAATATTTTCATGTCGTCTGCGAAACACAGAAGGTTTGAAGACTCAAGACAAGAGGCAATGTCATTCACGTATATCACAAATAAAAAGGGCCCAAGTAAAGAGCCTTGGGGTACACCACTAGGCACAGTAATCCAACTTGAAATGTAGTTATTAAGTACCACAGCCTGAGATCTATTGTCTATATATGATGAGAGCCACCGAAGTAGGTCTCCTCAAATGCCTATATTGCAGAGCTTACGTAACAGTACATCATAATCTATACGATCAAATGCTTTGCTGTAGTCGGTGTATACTACATCTACCTGGTTGCCTCTGTCCATAGCTTCGGTAAGGAAATCATTAAAAAGCGTGAGGTTAGTGACAGTATAACCTCCGCCCTCGCAGAAAACACTTGAGGAACTATGATCACCTAAAATTGTGTGTCAACATGCGAAAGTTATCGCCATCCCTCTCATTGTTTTTGTAAAAACAGAGATAACAATATGCGGTTATTTGACCAGGTTTAAGACTAATATTTACAAGACTGCACATTTAAAGTTGTTTTCTATGCCATAAAAACAGATTTTAATTGAAAACATAGTAACTTAGAATATTCTCGTAAATATGTGGGTGTAGATAATAAAGATTTATTATCGGTTTTGTTTGGTATTTGTTTTGAAATGTTAGGTTATGTCTGGTATTGTTAGGTTAGATTCTAACCTAACTTTAATACATGTTCTATATAAAATGTTATATGTAAATGTTGACCGTACGTCCGAATGCTCCGGCGAGGAGCGTCGCTCACGCAGCATGCTATCCAAGCGGTCATACTCATAGCGAAGTGCTGATATTTCTCGCTTTAACTGTTCGTTTTCTCTCTTCAACTTCTTAATATCTGACTGACCTACAAAAATAAAGTAACATTTAAGTAATTAAGTAAGTGAGGAGTAGTGGTAGAGTCAAAAGAAACACCAAATATTGCACCACTTTATTCTGCATAATTTCCAAAAATTCACAGAATTCTGTCTTTAAGTATTCATCCACTTCGACAGTTGTAACATTTCTGTAGGCCTCATTTCCCAATATTTTGTTACATAAAGCCAGCAAGCAGTTGTAGCTCTAGTAAATATGCTAAAAAGTGTTTTATAATTTCGTTTGATCAGATGTGATAGCCTCCCTACAGGTTTATATGCTTTTACTTAAGGCTGGTGTATTTGTAACTAATTATTAAGAAGTTTTTAATTGACTAAGGTTAATTATTACCCCTCTCTACTTCTGCATTTATGTTGATCGTGCGCAGCCTTAACTCCTCGTTCTCGTAGAGCATGCCCCGAGACGACTTCCGATCCAACCTGAGAATAGACAGAAGTCTTAAGAGTTGCACAAAAAACTATTATCTTGCTTGATTTCTGGTTCTTGGTTTCTTCCGTAAAGAAATGTTAATTCCTTATTTTGTAGTCATTTTTTTCCTTTTTGAGCCAGTCTCTTAAACTAACTTATCGTTAAAAACGGATTATGAATGTGCCATTTAGTCTTCTTTCAAATTCAGTTACTTTAGTAGCGAGAATCTTTTTTTAAAATGACAATAATAGTATTTTTATAGTGTTAATGGATTTAAGTGTTGACGCGACTAACAAATTGTATAAAACGGTGCATACACGTGAGCCCTGAGCACGTACGAGTGCTCAAGGATTCATTCACACGTTTGGTGACGCCCTAAGAAGTTTTTGAGGGTTGTCGCGTTATAAATAAAATTTGTAATGATATTTGCATTCAATGTTGGAATTATTATACCGAGATGAAGTCTTTGAGAATAAACTTGTCGTCACATGTCCCACAAAATTGTCATAATGTGTACGTTGAATTTCGTTCAAAATAACGTTTACAATACCGTCTCTTTAACAATGTGATGTTGCAATTGCAGAATGTGTGTGTTTATTGTCATATATGATATGTGTTTGTGTGTACTCACTTCCTGTTGGGCTTGACATTGACATCTTTGCGCCTGGTTCGCAACATGCTGGCTCCCGTCATGCCCGACATGATGCTGCGCTGTCGCCATGCGTCGAACAACAGCTGCAACAATACAGCGTATAATGTACATTAAAATAATTAAGGCTGGCAACGCATCTGCGTCTCTGGTGTTGCGGATGTCCATAGGCGTTCGTGTTCCTCGGTGTTCCAGCCCCTCGTTTGTCACCTTCTCTTATAAAGAAATGATTAGACTGTTTAATTGGGAACAAAGATAGCCTTCCATTAAACTGAAGATGTACAGCGAGTTTTACAATGACACAACACTAGTCTCTAGTCTAATACCATATAGTTTTCTAGACACTATAAAAAAGAACCACGCCGTAGAGCTGGATCTGCGGGAGCTACAAGCGATGGACTTGCAGGACAAGGCGAATACAGGCAACTTTGGCGATCTCTTGTGTCGGAGGCCAAGACCCACTTTGGGTCGATGCGCCAGCGGAGTAAGTAAGTATAAAAAAGAACCACATGTGAACTTACTTGCATTAAAGGTACATTAAAAGCAGTCCAGAATTTCGCATGATAAAAAAAGCAGAACCTCCTTCTTTATCGAATTCGATTAAAACAAATACATGGATTCTAACATTAAAATCTCGGTCTAGATTGGAGGATAAATTTATAGATCACGATAAAACACCGGTGTAAGTAAATATGAAATAACATTATAATTACCTATCAGTGATAATATAATAAATAAGGTTGAATATTAAACTGTTTTAGATTTTCTACCCTCTTTTTCATATAAAATCTGGATGACCGGATTTTTTTTTAAATTGTGTCTTTTGGAAATTATATTTAAGTACGAATAACTAATAAAATGATGAAATATGAATAATATTTTTCGATCTTACCGATAGAAAAAGTTAAGTTTATGTTTAAGTTGATTATCGATAAAACACGAATAAAATGACATTTTCTAAAAATGATTCCTAGCTAGATCGATTTATCGCTCCCGAAACTCCCTATATACTAAATTTTATGAAAATCGTTGGAGCTGATTCCGAGATTCCATTTATATATATACAAGAATTGCTCATTTAAAGATATAAGATATACTTGTTTATCAATAATGTATTCGACTTGTAGGGCACTTTTTTCTTTGCTTTCCTGTATGTAAGCTTTGAAGTAAAGAAGCACTTACTCTTTGGATACAGGGATATTCGATTGAATTTGAAGTAGCCTTAATTATGATGCTTATGCAAATAAGATGAGGTCATTGTTCTACTTTCCGTTGAGATTTTTCTCAGACTCATTAACTACATGATATTGATTGTTATATAAATGAGTTTTTGAGTCATTTCTGTTCATAAAAATACTATTTTCATTACTAATATCAGTGAGATATTGATTTCAAAAGATATCATATGAAATTGTTCAATTATTATAGAGTTTAATATTTTTTTGTTACAATTGTAACGTGAACAAAAAACGTAACGCTATGAATTTCAATTAATAAAATAAACAATGTTTTCGATATAAGTAAAGCTTATGGAATTAAAAAATATTTTTTCCGATCTCTCCCCTCCCCCAGATCTAACTTAAATCATCGGCTGGCGAAGCTACCATAAGTGAAACTAGAAAATATCCGCAGTCGTTCTTCTAATAGGATAATGTGAATTGAATTTCAAAGGCAAGGGCTGTAAAGATATATGTACGTTATGTGACGATACCCGTTGTGAAACCTTATATTATTTCATTGTATTTCCGTCTGTGCCCGTCATGTATTCACAGTAGCGGCGTTAGGGTGGGGCGACTGCCCAGGGCGCCATGTATAAGAGGGCGCCTTAGGCGCCAGACTAAGATGTAAAGCGGCGCTTGCGGTTCTCCTTAAGATATTGTGTCTTTGGAAGATTTCCCCGGTTACCAAAAAAAAAATTATGAGGCGCCGGAAAATATCGCCCAGGTGCCCGAAAAGGCTAAATCCGGCCCTGTGAGTGAAGTGAGTGACCTGGGGTAATAAGTTGGAATTCTATAAGTCAATTTGCAGTATTGCAATTTCCGTTTTTAAGACACTTCAAAATATTAATTCATATGTGAAATATTGGATGCAAAAACATTAATATGTTAAAAAGAAAAAATCTTAGTAATGAATAATTGCTAATTTAATTTTAATTTGTAGTATAGTTTTGTTTGCACAAAATTCTCTTGAAATAAATTTAATTACGTAAAAGTATTTGTAAACAAAACGACGCAATGTATTTGTATTTGACGGAAAAGAATTAAAAAGAAATATACATACATAGTACAAAAGTACATTAACATTGTAATCGAGCTGAAAGAAATCTCTTGTATTCAGTTTTTTACTTCTACCTACATATTGTATAACATTCAGAATGGCCGACTTCCGTAAACGAGAGTACGAAGAACGTGACAATTTCTACTATAAGTGTTGCTATAATAAAAAATATATTTTATATTTTTAATTCATCTTGCCACAGTCAATACTGAGTTGTGCTAAATTAAAAGCGCCTGACATAAAATAATAGTGTCGGAAGCACTTGGCCGATTTTTTTTATCTCTCATCGGAAGAGGGGTCTAGGGGGAAGGGGGGTTAGAGCCGCGTTACTACTCCGTAGAGTACTTCATATAAAAATCACTTGAGCTTCTTAAGGGTATAAAGTTTTGATAAAACTGTATAGATATTCACAAAGACTTATTGTATCGATGGACCTTAACCTTTTGACATTTACGTGTCATAAATAAATGGTTAAATGTTTACTAGTTCTGGCCTACGGTTTCGCTTACTCTAGAAAAAAGACAATAACATTTACAACTTTACGACCGTGATGGTGGTGATATCAAATTACGCTTATAAAAGTTTGCTATTTTATTTCCATGTAACACGTCTTAATTTCTTTTCATTTATTTTCTTGCGAGTTTTACATAGGAAAGGGATGTAACATGTCTAGAACGGATTAGACTATTGGACTATAAAGTTAATAGGGGGAATCTTAATCTCTTTTTAGCTCGTATCGAATAACTGGTGAACTTAATGACATGCCGTATTTACTACTCAAAAAAAATACAGACCCTAAATTATTAAATTAAAACCTCAAAATTAAACCAGTTCTTTAACAAATACGCAGGTTCAGAACTTTATAACATAGCTTTGGGTTTTCGCTGTTAAAACTTTAAAATACATATTGTTATTTCAATTTTTTTTACAGAATGATAGAGACAGCAACATATTTATATAGCTGAAGACGTTGGACAAAAGATATGCTAAGAGTAGACCATCTAGTTAGTTCAAAGGCCCGAGGGACAAACGAAGTACGCTTTCATTTAAAACTGCACAAAGGTGACATAGAAATAAAGACGTTTCCAGTCCAATGCAAACTTGTCGAATCTGCAGTGTCTTGGAAACTAGCATATAATATGTATGATGAAAGACTTGTATACTACGACTAAATGTATTTGAGACACGGCCTTCGTCTAAGCTAACATACGTATATTTTCTTTTCTATTTAACCTGTCGTTTTTACCGACTGTTCATGAAAGTAGTGAATATTGTGAAACCTTTGTTATTTGCAGTCTGTACCCGAAATTATAGTTTTTTGAGCTTCCTTTTTTGTTCCTTTATTTAGATTCATTCTTTTATTTACCTTATTTAATTTCGCTTATAACAGTACCAGTGAATTATGTATAATAAAATGCAAGTGTTTATAGTGATAGAGCGGTTGTATTTTAAGATAAGTTTCTTACATCTCAACTTTAGTTAGTCGAACTATACATGTACAGTCCCGTAAAGAAGTTTCAAAGTGCTTCACTCCGTAAACTTTTTTTTCTAACGTGTATATCGTTATTTTCCAATATCAACTTATCTCGTATTAATCTGTTACCCACACACCGTCTACTTAACGTTGTCGAATAGCGCGCGGGCTGAGCTGGCTTCAGGGACGCCTCGTGTTGACTAAAATGTACTATAAGTACTGTCGCATATATACGTTTACACCTATAATTTAATAGTGTCCGGTTTCACACATATTTACCGCTTATATTTCTTTTCGTAATCATATTATGTTTAATTTACTATGAATTTTATAACTAACAATCAGCGCCAGATTCGCACTGGTCACAGAGTCTCTATTTTCCTATATCGCCCTAGATAGAAGGTTACAGACAGGGCTATCTTCTTGATAATAAAAAAGAAAGTAATATTGCTAAATGGACTTTGCCTGTGATCTCATAAGAAATCCGTCAGTTTTCTAGGTTTTTATAGAGCTGGCTCTTTTAAACCTAGAAGAAAACTAGGGTCTACGGCAGACAAGGCGAAGGGGTGAGTAAGTGGGGCAAAATTAAAAATGTTATAGCTATCGATTCTTGTAAAAAAATAATTGGTACTTTTTGTTTTTTCGCCCATTCCATCTATCAAAACGTGTTTATAATACGTTAGTATGTATTGGTATTTAAATATTTGTTTGATCGTCGCAGTCTCTAATCCGCCGCAACAGCCTTCAGCGAGGTTGGTGTCGCGGCGAGGCAAGGGCGACCTACTTGTATAATAAACAATCGGTTCGCATCGCTCGTGATATCAAGTATATCAGACACAGAGAGGCTTTGTTTCAAATTATAACACATTTAACGACTTCTTAATGTTAAGAAGTAATCCGAACATATTGCCGGTGTATCGGCGCAACACTAGCTTTATTAAAATATTAACGTTTATGTCCCCTCACTCATCAATCAGACTTTTGAATTGGTAACCAAAAAGCACTATTCGCGCCAAAGGATACTAAAATTGCGGCGACGGAAACATCGTAATGCAACCTGTGTATATCAAGAAATTTAAAGATATGTGTAAAGTCGACCGACCCGCATTTGGCCAGCGTGGTTGACTATGGCCTAGTCATAGCATAAGGGAAGGCTCCAAGGCACTCAGTGGGTACATTAGTGAGCTAATGATGAGAAAACAAATGAAGTTTTTAGTGAATTTCGGATGCAGTCGAGTTTCGGATTTTGCCTAAAAACTTTTTTTCGTTGATCGAAACATGGGTTGGCTACACATCGAGATAGATTAAGAATACTATTAGGAAGGCTTTTGTCTAACTATAAAACTGATATAGGTTATGTATTAAAAAACCTATAATCTATAGATGTAAACGTGTTCTATTCAATATCATAAACTAGATTAGGCTCCAAAGCTAAATAATACGGTTTTTTTTCATGATAAAAAAACACAAAAAAAATTAGTAATAACCAATTTCTTTATTTATTATTGTCAACTTTTTTGAATTTATTACTCTTTATAAAAAAAATAAAAATAAAACGATAACTATGACGTACGTATTAATTAAACTAGTAAAACTGAATCACTGCATTTTACTATGATATTAAAATCTAATCTAGTAGAATTACTAGTATATGTACATAAAGGATGCATAAATATACATACATACATATCTTCAAGGTGATTCCATTTGGAGTATATCACCCAGTTTGGGCCGCGTCTACCAAAAAAAGATGCATTTATATTATTAGTTGCAATCTATTACATGTTTTGTCTCTTGTTCTCTTTGAAATATATTTTTTATTACAGTTTTTTAGACTTATAACATCAAACCTAAAAGACCTAAAAGACCGTGTATACGTAGATCCAAAATAAAAAACGTGACAATTAGACACTTTCCCAAAAAAAACAAAATTCAAAAACGTGGTGATTATTTGAAATTTTTTAGAGCTAAAAAACTTTATAAAAATAATTTAATAGCACACAAAATACAATATGTAAGTAAATGTATGATTGAAAATATACCTAAATGAAAAAAAAAATATTATTTTAAACTTAAACCTATTTGTCATGCAATGAGATAATGTGAATTAAATAAAAAATAAGGTATGAATAGTAAATTCATCATAAAAAACTTATAAATTATAACATTCGTAATGTAATTGATATAATAAAACTGCCTATCGTATACCGACTACTATTACCAAGTTTATAAACCTAAACCAAAGTTTTAATTCAATTTAAAAACTTAAACTAAAAACTATATCTTAGAATATACTAAAACTTTACGCACTTACTTTAATCGAGATATCGTTCAGCAAGTAGGGTTGTGAGTTGCGAAGTATTCAGTAATTGGATCAGTCGATGCTGACTCGGTCGCCCTGAAGATCGTACTGAGCTCGGCTGATGACCCTTAAATGCCACTTCATTTCACTCATGCGCAGTACACACTTTATTGTAACATTATTTTATGCCTCCCCATACCTATATTCATTTATTACTTCGATGATTCGAATTTTAATTCATTCTTAGTTAAGATTTTATGTCTTTGTTCCGACGTTGTATAAAAATATACATCCGAATTCTTTTACAATAAACAGATTGTTTCAGTTTGCGTAAATTGATTGTAAAATATACGACGTAATAGGCTAGTTTTTATTTATATTATAAGGTGGAAATCGAGCAAGTGACCATCTGGATTTGCCGAAATAGCGACGCGACAACTGTCCATAGACATCTGCAAGCGCTTTTTTAATTAAAGGAGTGGGAAAGGCACAGAAAAAACATATTTCCTCTTCCTATGCGTCCTTTCCTCTAGAAATTCACTTCTTCGCGAAATTGACGACTGTTTTCTGTGTGGTCCTGGTCATGGCACCGTTCGAGCCCGCCCATTCGTGCAAAATATCTTATTGTGGGCTCTAACCACTGTACCTTATTTTAGAAAAAAAAGTCGACTCTACTTTTAATTTTTCATTACTAATTATTATGTAAATCAGAGATTAGGATATTTTATTTCATTTCTGAGTTCTCGTCTTAATGTTAATTTATTTCCTACACGAGCGACCTCTGTTTTGAAGTAGGCACAACAATATTTCAGAGAATTTCTGATCAGTATGGGAAGGAGATTCTAAAGTTAAATAACAGATGCCGTTGTCACTAATAATTTTTAAATTACTTTTTTACTCAGTAAATATAAATTGTGTACTGTGTCGTTCAGTTTCTTAAAGTATTAATACATCCGAAAACAAGTTAAGCGAGTTGGGTAGAGTTGCATGGCGTGTGTTGCAAAAAGAATTACAAGTTGAATCGCAAAAGAATAATGAAAGCAATATTGGCGTCCGCTTTCACTGCGACCATTGTCCTGATATTATTTTAGGAATGCTGAACTTTATATTTAAACTAATACTATCACATACTTGGTTATATCAGAAACAATTTCCTAGTAACCTATTGTATTAAAATGGATAAAGGTTTAGAAAGTTTATCGACTTGCATTATGATAGCGGAGCGTGTACGAGGGAGCGAGCGAACAGGACGGCGCGAGAGAGAGCGGGAGCGGGAGCGGGGCGGAGAGCGGGAGCGGGGCGCGAGCGACCGGCGCCTCAGTAACCCGCCGCGCGGCTCTCGCAGTGCCCGTCTCCGCTCCCGCCTGCGCAACCGCTCCGCTATGAAGTCTAAAGTCAAAGGCGTCAGGTCCAAAAACATGGACAAACTGATAGCAGCCGTCCAGGCCAGGGAGTGTTTATGGGATAAAAGCTACAGGGGCCACCGGAACCGGTTCAAATTGGAGCGCTATTGGAACGAGGTCGCCGCAGAAGTGGGAACGACGAGTGAGTTTATAGCGTATTCGCTTCGCTTGTGAAGGTGAACGCCCGTCGCGTCCGCCATATTGTCCCGCGCTTTGTTTTCACTTACGCACTCATAATGACGCGACTCGAACGAATTACAGACTGGCCAAAAAGATACCTACTCTACAACCAATACTGATGTGTTGACCGAATGATTTTAAATACTTTTTTTATCCGAATGTTATAAAAAGTTAAAAATCTTAAACTGTCGACAGACTACTAGACTCAATTTGCACCTGCGTAGAGTTTCCATCTGCGAGTCACGGGCAATATGTAAAGTGCGCGGACTGATTGGTCACTCAGTGACTCTTTGGCTCGCATTGTTTATACTACGTAGAATTGAGTCGTGAGTTGTCAATTTAATTCGTGTGCTGCAGCTCAAAGGCGTAAGCTTATAAGCTGAACTAAACATGTATGCTTAGCTAAAGCGACCCATCAATTATACAGTTATTAATAATGCAAAGCATCGGATCTACTAAATATTATAATATAAAATTAAATACCTAATGAGAAAATGAATTTCTTCTACTTACAATTCATATTGAGTTCAATTTGCATGCTGTTTTTGTCAATATGTTGACAAAAGCAAATGCATCAGATGAATTTACGAAGTTGATTATTAACATGTTTCAGGTATTAATTGTAGAAAGAGATGGAAGAACTTAAAAGACCAATGCAGGAAAGAGATGAAGAAGAATCCAAACGAATCAGATTGGCCGCACTTCAAGAAATTGAAATTCATTCATCACCAGTTCCTGGCTGAAGACGGTGAAGGTGATGAAGACACGACTGATGAAGTTTTCAATTCATTAGATGATTCTATAAAAAGACCAAAGCTCGGATATACCATGAGAAAGAAATTATTGATGAATAAACGTAGAACTATTGACGTTGATATGAATAAATTGATCGATTTAGTCAGACCTATGGATTTAATTTGGAATAGACAGTTAAAAGGTCACCATAACTGGTATAAACTAGATGAAAGTTGGAAAGAGATCGCTAAGGAATTAGGAGTTACGAGTAAGTAGACCATTTTAGATTTATGGTTTTTGATTCTGATCTATTTTTTTGGTATAGATAGGAAACTGTAGACATTTGCATTTTATAAACGAATGTCACTGAATATAGTGGGCCTAGCACGAATATTGGCGACAAGCGCTTTCGTATCGTCAATTCTGTCAAAATTAGTATTAGATTTTTTGGGTACTATATTGGGCTGTGTAAATTTCATATCGATACGATAGCGATTGTCCCAAATAATAATCTAGGCTTACAGTACAAAGATATAACAATGCGTTGCTAATAAATTCTTAGAGATATGCATTATTCATTTAAATTAATTAATAGGTATCTTCTAATTACAAAGTTAATAAGTATAGGGTCAATTATAAGCGATAAATAATTTCCACACTATTATAATTATTCTAATGACTATGATAAATTATAATTCCCAGAGCAACGAATATGAATATGAATAAAATTAGAACCTAAATGTTGCTATTTCTTTCTTCCAGGAGACGAGGCGCGCCTTAAATGGAAATATCTAAGAGACCAAGCGAGAAAGGAAGTACGTAAGCAAGACTCTGAATGGGAATACTTACCCAAACTACAGTTTCTAACAAGCCAGTTTAATGATTACGAGAATAATGAGGCTGCAGACGAGCAGTACCCACAGGAATACGAACCTATAGACACGTCCGCGTCCTACTACGCCGAGCCGGCAAATGAAGTTGCCAATGATGAAGATTTCGATGAATTCGATACAAAACCAATTATAATGGAGACAGACTTCTACGATGATGATGATGAAGCTCAAAGAAGTGCAACCGGTGAAGAGCCAGCTAAAGACGAAGATATAGGCTTCTTTAACAGTCTACTTCCTCATGTTAAGAAATTGGTGCCTGCAAAAAAGTTGATGCTCAGAATGAAGATACAAGAATTGGTTTATAATACGGTTTACAGTGAAAATTGAAGTATAGTAAATGTAACAAGGTTTTCATATCTAATGAGCCATTATGCTCTTGTTTTTCGACTGGTCTATAGTTGAAGTTTGATTTCAATGACATCAAATGTCATTAAGGCAGTTTTTGTAAAGAAGCAGAGTTCAAGTGACAAATAAAATTGAGAGTAGAGTTTGTTTTGCTGGACATTTGTAAGAAAAGAGAGTAAAAAGAAGAAGTATACAGAGTTTAATGTAATCAGTAAGTTACTTAGAGTTATTAGTTTCGAGCCCTACGCGAGACGGATCACGGATGCGAACTGATTCGACTCACCTTATTGACCTGACCTTTTACGATATTTTTTTACCACATTTTTAGTGGACGCAGAATGTAGTTTTAGAAAATCGTCTTATGAGATATATTTTTTAATTATAAACAAGTAGACTAAGTTATGTATGAACCAGATTTTCAATGTGTTCATTTAGTTACAAAGAATAGATTAAACCTGATTTGATATGATACATTAGAATCAACAAGTTGATATTTTTAATCTCATATTTTAAAGTTTTCGCAACATTTTGAGGTTCACATTTGTGAAATTTGTTCACTTGTGGTGCAAAAAATTTGATTTTTTTTTATTTTGTGAAATGATTTTAATTTAATTAAGTTATGGTTTTAGTTATCTTAAATTTATATAAGATAAAATTGTCTTTTTAAATATAAGAAAAATAGTACAACGTATAAGTAAATTAAGAATTGTTCTGGTGTTTTAAAATTATTTTGTATTTGAGTTACTACAAAGGCGTAATAGTTTTTTTTATTATTTCAATATAGATAATACGCACACGTACGCACTTAAGCAAGAATGTAATTAACTAGTTAGTTTTGATTAACGTCTTCAATTTTTTTTTCATAATATAATAATAAAACAGAAATAGCGTTATTATTGTTTACTTAGTGTACAATAAAAAAATAAATGGATTTTAACAAATAATAAGTAAAAAGTGAATATTAAAATTAAAAGGAACAAATTCCCATATTTCTTTTGAATCGATTCTTTCCAAAAAATCTTCCGTATGTATTCTTAACCATTCCAAGTTAAAGTTATATAAAAATTGTAAATTAAGGTTCTGCGCATATATTTATTTATTTATGAGTTATATGGAAATACATTTAATATAAAACAAAGTAATATTTTATTTATTAAACATTTCATCGTTCATCATATGCATACATATGAAAATGTAATGCATCAGACAGATTTTAATGGAACATCCTATATGTGAGTATGCAAGTCATTAACATTTCTACCCTGTATGTCTTAATCGACATTTTCTCTGTTATAAATATGTCAGTTGGAAATTACATTTTAAGGTTATTTCGAAAACCTTTCACGGCTTAAGAACATTGCTACATTAACTTCAACACAAATCTTCGCGAATTGCATTGTTGAAATGCATTTGCATCGTAACTGTCCGTTTACACTGGGGAACAATTTAAACATTTCTCTTTCATTCTCATTAAGAAAACAAGAATAACATTATAATGATTGCGTCTTTCTTTTCCATAGGGTCTATCACGAATAATTGCGGTTTGCGTTTTCGTAACGTCATCTTCATAATATGTCAAAAATTGTATGAGATTCTTCGTTTTAAAGTAATGTTATACATCCAAATGTTTAGATGGATGGATGCATGAATGTTTGTTTGAAGATATCTCCGGAACGGCTTAACGAATTACGATGAATGATTTGGCTAGGGTGTAGAACATAGTCTGGTAAAACACATAGGCTACTTATTAAGTTTTTTTGTAATTTCGCGAGGACGTCTCCGCGGACGACAGCTAGTCTAATGTAAATTGTTAAAAATTGATTTTTAACTAGATGTCAAATTCCTTTGAAATACTTCACCTATAGATTATAAATCTATAGTTAATACTATAAATACCTACATAGGTAGATTTGCACACTGACTAATTATTGATTTTGCTTTGAGGTTAGGTAAACTAATTCACTCACAGGGTATTTTTAGTACAACACAAACAATAACATTTCGTTTGTGTTCAGGTTATAACAGTCGATAATTGTATTTAGGTTGCCTAAAATAATATACATCTGTATTCACTAAGACCTAGGTATTACTGGACTAGGGAAAACACTAGTTCTTCACTAACCTTGCCCAGTAGTTTTTGGACTGGTAGTTTTTTTTTTTAATATGATTAAGATCTTAATTAAAACCATAAGAATATATAACTTCAATAACATTTAAATTGAGTAAACTTCACAATAGAGAATACACCACACTATTCAGTCAATGGTACAGTACAGGTAACCTACAGTTGTATATTTTTATCAAAACATCGAAGGCAAACAAATTATCAGAAAGGTCCTAATTTAATTTAATTGTGAAATGCTAATTTCGTAATCGAGATGTAACTAGAATACCGCTAACTGACGCGACTGTACTTAAATCATATTTTAACATCTTTTCTGTTTGAATGCACTTATATATTGCAATAAACTAAATTGTTGTATTAATGTAATTTTAAGGAGGTATTTCCAATGGGAACTGCGCTTGGCAAGTATCAGTTCCGTTTCGAATTAATCATTAAATTTATTGCCGCTTCTGCAGCGGCTGCGCAGTAAATGGTAAGTGTTATTGAGGGAAATGATGGATGTGCGGAACATACCACTTGTTTTATCGTTCATAGATATTGCTAATATACTCGTTACTTTAATTAATTGGCATATTTGATGTAGAGCGGTGTAATATCCGGCTATTGTTTTGGATAGAACAAGCCTTCAATCGTGCTGCCTAGAGAGCTAGAACGAGAAGGCCAGTGCTAAATGGTTGGGAACAGGCATGTACGGATAGGCATATGTTTTAATGGATATCTTTGAAAGGGATTTCCTTGGATTTATACGCGTAGAGTTACAAAATCAATATATTTTACTAGTGCATTTACACACCTTACTAATATTATAAATGCGAAAGTTTAGGTGGATGTTCGTTAGAATGTATGTCCGGAACTGTATACAATTAAATTAATCTTTAAACGAAAAGAAATAAGAGTTGGTTAACCACTCTCAAAGTAGTTACTCGTCGATTTGTCCTCCTTTAATGTTTGAAACGTAATAAAAAAAGATAAAATGTAACAATTAATGACCAGGCGTACATAGTGTCAAGGAGATTGTAATGAAAATTGGCAGCGGTCCCATTGTTCCGTGCCGTCAAACTAGTTTATACCCGTATCATAATACGCGTAATACTTGATGGTCTATTACAATAAAGATGAAAGAAGCAACGGACAAAAGCACGCTTATGATTCACGTGATTGAAATGAAGCCAAAACATCGAACGTTCGGACTATCAAATTGGTATGTAATAAATCTATAGTAAATCCATAGTTGAACATAATTTTTTTTAGAATCGATATTTGTATCCGAAATCCGAGATTGGATAAGTATATCGTTGTAAATTGCATACATGTGCAATCTGATTTCATTTACAGATACAATCTGAAAAAGGGAACAAAGGCTCGCAATCTGAGATCGGATATATCCGAAGTATTTCTAAAATTCGATAAACATATGCCTATGATATATCCGACATATTGAAGAAACTTAGCACGTGATTTGGTTCTGTGCTTTAATTGCAAAATAATAGTTTACTATAGCAATTACTTTTAAGCTTACGTTCAAAGAGGTGTTTTGATCTGTTTTTGTTTGGTGCCTAAACGGTGGCCGTAAATCTTTTATTGTTTAAGTGGTTCTTTTAGAAATGCATACATTAAACGTATGAACATTTTAGTGGAGTTTTTTTTTCCTTGTAAACAATTTAGATTTAAATTTCGTTTTATATACGTTATGATTTAAGCACCATTTTATGTTAAACTAGCTGTCGTTCGTGACTGCACGTGAACCACGCAAATTAAAACAAAAATTAATTAGTAGCCTTTGTATTCTTCCAGGTTATGTTCTATATTTATGCCAAATTTCAAGATCCGTTCAGTCGTTTTAGAGATACCTTTAAACAAACATCCATCCATCGATCTAAACTTTCGCATTTATAATATTAGAAATAATGAAAACCTCGAATAACACTTGGGGCAATTTAAATTTATGAATCTTTAATAAACGGGCATTCATATTAAATAGGCTTGTTTGAATATTAATTTAAAGATGTTACACCGCCAGCGAACTTCACTGTACTTATTTAGCTATGTATGTGAGTTCTAATTTCAATTACCGTAACAAGCTTTTCACGTTAGTTCATACGTTTTCAGCAGTCGTTTTCAAACCAGTATATTTTGAGTGTAGCGGTCCAACCAATAACATGTATTGAGGTGCTCAAGTCAAAACAATTTTATGATGTAATGCACTAAAAACGACTCTATTCAATAAATTATATTTCAGTTCAATTTGTGCTCAAATTATATGTTCATGTTCTAAACTTTGTACTTCAATCTTACTAATATTATAACTGCGAATGTTTAGATGGATGGATGGATGTTTGTTAGAAGGTATCTCCAGAACGGTTGCATATATGCATATTCAGTAGTTCTGAGGATCGGCTACTATCAATTGCTTAATCCCTTGCGGACGGAGTCGCGGTCGACAACTAGTCTTAATATAAATGTATTTAAAAAAGTGCCTTTGTTACTTTTAGCTTGAATCCTTCACATATATTTTTTTAAAACAATACTTTTTTTATTTACAATGCTGTGTTAATTTTTACACATGGTTCCAATTAAATTGCAAAAATTATCGCGTTAAAATGATATTAAAATAAATCAGAGCTGACATTTATTTTATTTAGACAGCGTTAGTCACTTGCGGGAAATTTTTATTTTGGCCGCGACAGAAATATATTCTCATCTGGAACATATAACAGTAATGGTTTTGGGGTTCTGTATAAATATATACGATATTTCAAAACCATTTTATCTTACTAATATTATAAATGCGAATGTTTGGATGGATTGATGTTTGTTTGAAAGTATCTCCAAAACGGTTGAACAGATCCCGATGAAATTTGGCATACATATAGAACATAGTCTGGAATACACAGGCTACTAATTATGTTTTTTTTTCAATTCCGCGCGGACGGAGTCGCGGGCGACAGCTAGTTATATCTAAATGCCAACTTTTTATATACAACAGACATCTTAAAGGAAACAAATCGCGATAATTGCATTTTACGGAACC